GACAAATTTCGAGGTAAATCGACTTGATTAACCAAAAAAGAAAACAACAATGAAGAAAGAGAAGTACAAATTTTGCCAACCTGAGAAAAACAAGATAAAAGACTGTTTGCAGTTCCGAAAATTAGATAAAATGTTGCAGATAAAGGGTTTAAGATAAAGGACTGCGACTAGAGTCGAATATAATGGAAACCAAAATTAGATACAGGGTTTACGATAGGAAGCTAAATGAAGCCTACAAGAATGTATCTGCAGCAGCTATAGAATGAAGGAAATCAAGATCAGTTGGTTGTAAGGTCTAAAACTCGTGAGATGCTTTAGATATTAGAAGATATTATTCAAATCTTATAATAAAGCAACAAATCTTATAAACGAAACAGAATTTAAATAAATATACAGTAGTATACGGTCATAACGACTCCGCTTATAGCGTCCGTACGATTATTGCGATGAAAATTCAGGTCCTCAGAAAAACTTAAATGAAGAAAATTATATGGTTATAGCATATTCCGGGTATAACGTCGGTATAATCGAATTCTACTATATATATTATTAAAAATATTATATTGCAATACAGTATGTTCTTTATATGTATTCATTTATATAATCTATCCAAGACGTTAGGAAGTGCCTTGACAGGTTCTGTTAAGTAAGTAACGCACTACACTAATCTAGGATCTAGAATTTAGCATTTGAGGATCAGTTCTATGTCAACTTCAATTTGATCGTAATTGTAGTCCCTCGTTTAATCTAATCAAGGATACTTTGAATCTAGTCTAACTCTCAAACAACGGATCGATGCAGCTATCTCGAGGCTCAAGCTCTAGGCCCACTCAACATTTTGTGATCCGCATTGATGATTAGCTCTCATATATAGTACAATATGAACATCGTTATATTTCGCTTAGATTAACTAACCTCACGATCTATTGTTTGCTTTAAGATCGGATTTAGATCCTAAAGGCTGCCCACAGTCGGCATTGCTGCGAGTAGCCAATGATGATTGGACTCATCTTGCTGCGGTTGCTCTGTCCGAATGTGGGGCACACGCAACTGTTATTTCTTGCATTTCAAATGGCGCATTGCGTAAGCAGCCCTCGCTCTATGGGAGAGAGGTGTGCGAGTGTGTGTGTGTGCGTGTGTGTGAAGTGCCATTCACGCATACGCTTAACACACTTCTGTCGTACGCATTTTCTATGCAAACGAGCGGAAAGGTGAGAAGAGGGGGGCAACACGCAGTGCGTGTCCAAATGCAAAAGAAAAAAATGTAGGCGGTGAGGAGAGGGGATGGGTTGGGGCGTTAGGTTGGCAGATCAATTGCGGACGCGGTCGCTGCTTTTAGCACGGTGGCGTTAATTGCCGTGCCAAGTACGCGGCGGGCAAACAAAGTTGCCAATCGCTTCAGCACAGAGAGCGAGACAGAGAGAGGGAGAAAGAGAGAGATAGGGAAAGAGAGCGAGCAAGCCATTCGAGTTGGTCAATTAGCTGCTTGGCCGCAATTGCAACAGTTCTCTAATTGATGTTTACCCTTGCCTTCTTCGCAGGACTACAATGGCGAGTGCCCGTACTCGCTGTCGCCCGTGAGCGCCAAGAGCCAAAAACTGCTGCGATCGCCGCGCAAAGCCACGCGCAAGATATCTCGGATACCGTTCAAGGTATTGGATGCACCGGAACTGCAGGATGACTTCTATCTGAACCTGGTCGATTGGTCGTCGCAAAACGTGCTCGCCGTCGGTCTGGGCAGCTGCGTGTATCTCTGGAGCGCCTGCACCAGTCAGGTAAGCGCAAATGCAATCCTCAAGCTGAACTGCAGTGCTAATTCTGCCTTCTGTCCATGCAGGTCACCCGCCTGTGCGATCTCAGTCCCGATTCCAATACAGTCACATCTGTGTCGTGGAACGAGCGCGGCAATACGGTCGCCGTGGGCACACATCACGGCTACGTGACCGTTTGGGACGTGGCAGCTAACAAGCAGGTGAGTAACGGAAGACAAACGAGAGGAGTGGGCAAGTGGAGAATGGCCACAGATCCATTGACTAATAGAGAACGAGTAACCCGTAACAAGTGAAGATATGCAGGCAAAGATCAGCGAGCTATAGCTTATTTTAGGTGTATTATATGAGCTATATGTATTATATGAGATATTACACGAGGGAAAATCATCTTGACAAGATGAAGAGAAGTCATATAGAGAGCTAGCGATGAGTGAGGCGATCATAACTGTGGGAAATGTAGATAGAACCAAGCAGCGAGTGAGAAGCAAAGAGAAGCTTGGCAAGTGATGTAGTATAAGGGAATAAGAAATCAGCAAATGAGTACAGATGTCACATCTGATAGTAATGTGTATATAGCAGTAGGTTTTAGGCGACGACTGAAAGCTAGAGGAGACGAGTAATGAGTGAGCAGTAGGAGCTGTTAAGAGAATAAAGTACAAGGAGGAAAAAAGATTAGCCAAAGGAAAGATGCAATAGAGATTGTTTGGGTAACAACTTTGTAAAGCCTTAACTAATGAAATGCCCTGCTTGTTTGCAGATCAATAAACTGAATGGACATTCGGCGCGTGTGGGCGCACTGGCCTGGAATAGCGACATTCTGTCTAGCGGTTCGAGAGATCGCTGGATCATACAGCGGGACACACGAACGCCGCAGCTACAGTCGGAGCGCCGTCTGGCCGGACATCGTCAGGAGGTGTGCGGACTGAAGTGGTCGCCGGACAATCAGTACTTGGCCAGCGGTGGCAATGATAATCGACTGTACGTGTGGAACCAGCACTCCGTGAATCCAGTGCAGTCGTATACGGAACATATGGCCGCAGTGAAAGCAATCGCCTGGTCGCCGCATCATCACGGCCTGTTGGCCAGCGGCGGCGGCACTGCGGATCGCTGCATACGCTTCTGGAATACACTGACGGGTCAGCCCATGCAGTGCGTGGACACCGGCTCGCAGGTGTGCAATCTGGCCTGGTCGAAGCACTCGTCGGAGCTGGTCTCCACACACGGCTACTCGCAGAACCAAATACTCGTGTGGAAATACCCGTCACTGACGCAAGTGGCGAAGCTAACGGGCCACTCCTATCGTGTGCTATACCTGGCCCTCAGTCCGGATGGCGAGGCGATTGTCACCGGCGCCGGCGATGAGACGCTGCGCTTCTGGAACGTCTTTAGCAAGGCGCGCAGCCAAAAGGAGAACAAGTCTGTACTGAATCTGTTTGCCAACATCAGATAGATTCGCTGCTCAGATGTGGGTGGAGGGAAGGGCGGCACGCTCGGACAAATCGAGCGTGCGTTGACTGAGCGAGGCGCCAAAGGCAAGCAACTAACCAACCAACCAAGCAACCAACTAATCAAACAACGAATCAACCAATTAATCAGGCAATCATTAAGCTGGGGACTTCAGCCGCATCCACATAAGGCGCTATGTTGATTTAACAATGTTTACTAAATTTATGTTAAACTTAATTGTCGAAGTGTTTTAGATACTTCTCTCTATGTCTAAGTTTTGGGCCGGGGCAAACTTCTGGTAAGAATTGTGGATTAACTTTTGAAAGAAAACCGAAAATCAACAATGAGAAACAAAATATTTCGTAAATTCAACTAAATTTGGGTCGGTGCAGCGCTATGATATCTATTTAAATGAAATGAAATACAAGCCTATAACTTAGTCAAATGATCCAATGAGCCCCCTCCTCCAACTGCTCTCTGGATGCTCCCAGAATATAGCTATACAATAGGTCCAAAAATTATAGTGTTTATGTCTTAAGTATGTATAGTGTTTATTAATCAATTCGCTAATCTTGATCTAATTGTAAATCTAATCCAAGAACCAGAACTGATAAACAAACTAAATGCAACAGCTCCTAAACTTAACTAATTGAAATCTAACATATATACTAGATATAAATATGCATTTTTTCTGTTTGTATACTAAAAGAAAAAAAAATTAATATATATATATAAATTTAATTTTTTTTTTTTTGCTTAGCTTGTAAGCTTAAATCATTTGCAATCGCAATATATTATATATTTGTTTTTTTTTTTCCTCTTAATAAACACACACACACACACGCGTAACACATGTATATTTAATAAATTTATACAATTTCAAATGAAAACGGCGTTTTACTTGATAAAAGTATCGATTCTTAAACTGATTTCAATTCGTATTTAAATTTTAGCTTGGACACAAACCACACTCACTTCCCCTACAATTTTGCTTTGTTGAAGACACAGATTTGACTGCAGTCGTAGTGTAATTTCTATAATTCTCAGTATTACGTGAATAATTTGTTATATATAGTATATTCGAAGTAGGACGCGTAGTTATACGTTTTAAGGAAGTATCGGTCATGTCTAGTGGAACTTGAATTTCAGTTTGGCCACACACCGCACATTTTTCCCATCTATACTGTTCTCACTGCTTGGTTGGCAACTTTGCTAAACCAATTTAAGTCGGCAATGACTTTGTTTATTACTCTTTGTTAATTACTATTGGCAGCGACGCTTTTGTCAGTCTTCCTGCATTTTTTACCCACATATATATTTAAATTCTGAAATGTATATTCCAATTAAATTACAAGAACAGTTATGCTGCCTGAATCGTAATACATGAATATTCCAAAGCTTAGCTTTGACACTCACCCCTCTCTAAATTGCCATCCACATTACTTCTGTTCCAGCTGTTTGGTTCGTAGCTTTGCTAGGCGCCTCTCCACATGTGTTGTTGCTTTGTCTTAGCTTACTTGCTGGTCAAACGCAGCTTTTGGAGCTTTTGGCCGTGCTAATGCAATTAAAAACGCTGCAAACTTGAATTTCGCTCGCTTGCTGCAGCTTCCGACGGACACAACGCCCCCGCTGCGCGCGCTTCAAGCTTCTAGCCGCGTCTGCTGGCTGGCTGTCTGTATGCGTGTGTATATCTGTGTTCGTGTGTGTGTGTGCTGCTGTTGTTGTTGGCATCGACGGTTGCTTTTCAATTTTGGCCAAGTCCAAGTTGAACAGCGCTCAGCCCGCCAGAATCAAGTTCAGTCGCGCCGCAAACGCGTTGCGGAAATGTTTTGTTGTGAGCATCGTCGGCAACAGCAGCCTCCTGTACGCAGCTACGCGCGCTGCTCCTTGCTCAGCCTCTAAGCAAAAGTAAACAACAAACGCACCAAAAAAAAAAAACAAAAATCAAAACAAGAAAAGAACGATAAAAAATCTAAAGAAAGAAGGATTTTTTTGCGAAACTTCCAGGTAAATGCAGCCGGGTGAAACGGGTAAACCGTAAACGGTTAACGGTTATGCCGGAATATATTTAACTGTATTGCCTGGAATTTATATCCTCTACAATATTATTTTTGTTCATGTGTGTGTGTGTGTGAGTGTGTGTGTGAAGCTGGCACGTGGTCCTTGCTGCTGCTCCTCCTCTTGTTGTTATTGCTGGCTGCCTTTTGAAGGTCACTTCGCATCAGGACTGAAGGCCGCGCCAGAGTGAGAGAGACAGACGGGTAGCTGAGCAGCTAGAGAGAGAGACAGCAAGAGCTTTGTGTCGAGCAAATGTCAAAAGGTGGCTGCCTTAACGGTTTGTGGGCGAGTCTGCGGGGTAGGCGGGGCTGGCTGCGACTGCAGTGGAAAAGTTCTCGCAACAGCCACAAAAGTGAAAGTGCAAAAGGAGCCCAAGCTTATCAATTGGCCTAGAAATTAGTGCTAACGGTATTCAAGTATGTTAAATTGTGTTTTTACTGTAGAGAAAGAAATAATAATAATAATACGAAACTTCAGTGAAATTGAAAGTTCAAGATGGGAAATTTAAGAATGCAACGAAATGTGACCTTGAATTAATAACAGGATATATGGAGACATATATATAAATATCTATGCTATATAAGTAACAATTTTAAATTGTCTTTAATATATTTTGTACATATTTATTTATATAAAAAAGTATGTTAATCTGAATATTCGTTTCAAGAACATCCAACTTTAGTTCATCCCACATTTAATGTTAATGAGATATATAGATGTGTGTATACAAAAAAAAAAAAAAAAAAAAATTTTTTTAAACAAATGTATCATTTTTCGATATAGCCATATCCACTCTATGCGATGCTGACTTCCTATTCTGCTATAGTCGCTTGGCATTCCAATTTAAATTTTATATCTAAATTTAAATGATCGAATTGAATTGAATTTTATGTTTTACATGTAAACGGAAATGAATTTTCAATTTTATATCTAAACTGAATTTAATTTGAAATTCGATATACGTATAAATTTGAAATGAACTTCCGTTACTTATACATAAAATCCCTATTAAATTCAGTGTGACCGTTGCTAAGTATATAGGAGCCCTAGCTGCCCTATTGGCCACCTCAAGGCTCAAGGCTCGCTCTGATATCCCTGAATAGATGCTTGCTTGATCACGAACAAGAACTCAATTTGTAGAGCTCTCTGACCAGCTCAGATAGTTTCTAGTGTTTAGCATTTACCTGCTATATTTATCCATAGGTCATATGCATAGATATAACGTCCCTGAGCTGTGCTTTTAGATAGAACTATTTGTGGATACAACAAATCAAATATTGAACAACAAATATTTGCATGTGCGATAAGCCTGGCCTCCAACTGGCACCGCTGGCCACCCTCTAGCACAATTCACACCCGTCACACGCACACGCACACACACACACACACACCTGCACACCCACGAATTGAATTCTGCAAAATTTGCATAGTGATTAGCAAAGCGCAAGCGCTGGCTAAGACCGCACCCTGTTGACGTTAACAAGCGAAGATTCTGTCTGGGCCAAAAACTTGATTAGCTGACCGCCATCTGACTGTGACTGAGCCGCTGATGTTGGCCATTTAGCAAAAGCTTCTTTACCACTCAAGCTGACGTCTGGAAATCTGTAGATATTAAGACCGTAGACTAAGACGATCTAGCCAAGACTGTCTGCATTTTTATTATTATTTCGATCGTGCGTCTGTCCACCTGTCTGACGGATGAACATCAGCAGCTCCGTCCAGCCGTTCGAATGTCCATGAGTCCGTCTGTCTACCTGTCCTGGTCTGTCTGTCCGTCCTTCCATCCCTCCGTGTATCTCTCCGTCTGTCCTTCCATCCAGCCGTCCGTCTGTCTATGCCTCCATCCAACCGCTTATCCGCCTGTCCGTTTGAATATCCATCCATGTGTCCATCATTCCGTCCGTCCATCACAACATCCTTCCGCTCATCCACCCACCCGTGCTATCACTCCCTCCATTTGTCCATCCTTCTCTCCGCCCGTTCGTATGCTTTTTCTTGTTTCTTCGTCTCATATGCCAGCCTCAATAACTGCTCCTAGAGTAGCTTTGATATTCATAGATATCCATTTATAATTTAATTGATTATATATTATTAATTTATTGAGAACCTTTTGAGCTAGGGTCTCCTGATATTTTTACTACTACGAGATACGAGCTAGTTCATGTATAATTATGTCTATATAAACATACTGATGGTAAGCCATCACGTTCTGGGCTTGTGTTCCAGGCTTAGCGGGAATTCCCGATATTTTATTTGCTTCTTCCTTTGGTGTCCGCTGAGGCCCTTTTGGCACAATTAGCGCCGCAATCGAGTTGAATTGGAGATATTCACAGTTTGGGAATTGAAATTCGAAAAGTCATGGCAACTCTGCAATTAGCGTGCACTGCACTGACAGGTGGCAACTGTGGCCGGCTTTTGTTTATGGCTGTGTTTGCTTTATCTTTGCCCATGCTTGTTGGCTATAACGGTTAACCTTCACCTGGCAGCAGCAGTAGCCGCAGTCGCAGCAGCAGAAGCCGCCGCAACTCGTTCAATGACCGCCACTGTCGTTGCCGCTGTCCATCACAAAGCCGCCGCTCTGTTATGGTTACTGCCAAAAGGGAGTGACCAGTGGGGGGGGGGAGAGGGGGCCCTCAACCAACTCGCCCTCCTTCTGCCGCCAGCGACTCCGAGCGCTCTTCAACTTGACCCCAATTCGCAGGCTTCAATTCTGGTTTCAGCAGCGGCTGCTTCTTCATTTTATGGGCAAGGACCCGCCCAGTCACGTTGTCTTGCCGGTGACCTTTAGCCAGGCGATTAAGATCATTTCAAGCGGCAGGTAAAAACTGACGAAGGGCATGGTAGATAGGAGGGGGGGGTCGGGGCAGGTGTGTAGCAGGGGTACGACAATTACACGTCCAAACTTAACAGCTTGGCTCGAAAATTGAATGCTGAACAAGTCGTTGTAACTGTGCGGCGGGGAGGGGAAGGGCTGCTGGGGTAAAGGGGCCACAGACTAGAGCGGAAAACAAGCTGAAAATACGATTTAATATGGATTAAGGTAGACTATATGCATATATGATGATATGGCTGATGTAGTCAAATGCTGATTGATTACAGTAGAAGCTTAGCTTAGCGATCCAACACCCCGCCAAGTCATGAGAGCAGTTGCTCATGCATTTGCATAGTCCATATATGTATGTGTGTGGGTATAGCAGATCAGATCAGAGCCAACCAGCTGCCAGCTGCTGCTATCATATGATCTGTCCGTAGTCTCACTTGTTGATATATGTGTCTGTGTTTGGCTTTTGAAGTGGCTCAGAATCGGCTACCGAATGGCGTGACATCAGAGTGCAAAGATAGTGTATCCGAACAACAACAACAACAACAACAACGAGAATAACAACAACAGCAAGAATAACAACAGCAGCAGAAACAGAAACAGAAACGATGATAAACATAAATGCAAACCAGTTGCAATGCGCTTCATGGCTGAAGGCAAGTGAAGGGTTAGCCCAAGGTAGGGGGGGGGGCAAGTGGGAAGAAGACATTGTTTTTGGTTTCAGGTTTAAGATTCGTAATAATTTTATACATATATTTTTGTGGCTAAGGAACAACATTAGCTGCGGCTGTGATTGATGCTCCAAGCGCCACGCCCATTGCAGCCCAACGACCTTTGGCAATAAACCCCTCCGCAGCCCGCTGCACTTAATTGCAAGCTGAGCAAGTTTATCGAGGGCTAACAGTAGCTCACAGCTTGATGGGCCGTTAAGTACGCGTAAGAGCCTGGGGCATGCCCCCCCCTCTCTCACCCAAGCCCAACACGATATTAGCTTTATTTTTATTTTAATCGTCTGTTGAACCATAAAAAGAAGCCAAAAAAAAAAAGCACAGTCCAGTGTTGGACCAGAGGTCGCTGACGGGCTGTGTGTGTGGGGGGGGGGGCAGTCACATGTCATTTAAATAGATCTCTCAAGAGTTCGGGCGCCGCGGTCATTGTACTTGAGCAAATCGAACTTTGATTTTCTTGTTTTCGTTTTCTTGTGCTTCGAATAGTCAAATAAGCATAATAGCACCAAGACGAAGACAGAGACGGAGACGGAGACAGAGACAGAGACGGAGTGCAGACTGAGATGGAGACGGAGTCAACGGCGCCGGGTCTTTGGCTAGACGCTGATCGAGCCGTTGGGCCCAGCGGCGATGCCTATTTATGCCGTGAATTTCAAAAGCATTGACATTGAAAATTATGCGAACGGCTGAAGGGTAGAGTGCAGCAAATGGTGATCGTCAACTCAAACAGATTAGCGGATCGACCGAGCCGTATGGAAATCGATCGCAAAATTATTATTGAAATGTATTCAGCGGACAGTCGGCGGACAGAGCAGGCCACAAAATGTATCTGAATCGAGCCATCGATCGTGATCAGCAGCAAATTCAGTTACGCAGATCAAGTCGCAACTGCAGAAGCGCGACAGAGATCGCTTGAAAGATCTATAGGACGCGCAGAGACTCGCTTCACAGCCCTTGCCCGAAATGGGGGTCAGTTTGTAGTGCCGATCGGGTTGAAGATCAAGGTTGAGATCGTTTGACGTCTATTTCATTGTTCTGAATTTGCGCGAAGCGGAAGGGAACTCAATTTGATAGCTGAACACATGAGCGACTAATTCGATCCGTTCGCATAGCGATGGCGTTTGACAAGTTGCGAATTAAGATTGATCGCTCGCTCGGCTGTCTGTCTGCGTCACAGATATATCGCATTTATCCGAATCTTTTGATCGCCCACTAGATCTTGGGCCCCAGACAGTTGGCAATTGTTTAACGATCAGCGATTGTCGTCGACTGAGTGCCCCAGATGCGGGGGCATTCAGCGGGTATGTCAAGTTTCTTAGCGACCCATAAATACCAGACTTATTATACCTAATAAGCGGCTCTGAAAATGTCATCATTAATTATTTGTAATAATCCGACGTGACATGAACTGTACAAAGTTTACGCCTTGGAATTCAATGTCCCTCCCAAAACAAAACAAAACAAAACAACAAACGGCAAAAGACAAAAAAAGAAAACTGAGAGAGAATGGAATAAAGATTTGACTCGATTGTGGATTCATGCTTAGGCTTCAAGCACGTCGCGCTATCGTGCCATTGAATACTCTGTGGCTTGATTTGATTGAGCCTAAACAGAGCAAGTGCCGTGCATGCAGAGGTCGAATTGGCTCGAGAGTCGAAGAGTTTCCCATGACAATTCTGATTTGATAACCTGATTCTTCGACTCAAAGAGCTAAGCTAAGTAGAAGATCTAAGATCTACGATCTCTGTTGTTGATCAAGTATATCTAACTGTCTGCTTCTCTCCCTTATACGCATTGTCCGACCAAGTCGAGGGACCCATTCGAAGAGCATTCAAATGTTAATTGTCCGCAAAGACTTGCACTTTTCGATGGTATTTCTGTTGTTTACCTGGTAACAAATAAAATAAATAAGAAAACAAAAACCAAAATATCAAAAATTGATTTGTGCTTGTTCAATAAACAAACAGAAATGCCAAAGTCGCTGCTGGTCAACGAAATAGCTCAAAACAACTGAATATAACACAAAAATAACTATTCAAGTCACACTTGAGCTGATGGCACTTCAAATACCCTGTATTGAAGAGTCTTTGACTCCTCTGATGAGATTCTCTCTTGAGGGCAACTCTGAGAAGAGAGCAATTTTATTCCATGCAAATTGTAAATCATTTGTTCATTTCTGTATAAATTTCATTTCATATTTATATAATGTTCGTAATCCTGTTGTTTATACAACGCTGATCTCTGTATATGGAGGAAGCATGAGTATGGAAAATGCTTGACACTCTTGCAGTTTAATTTGACTCTGCTTTTCTCTCTCTCTCTCTCTCTCTCTCTCTCTCTCTCTCTCCCTCTCTGTTTCTGTCTTTCTGTTTCTCTCTGTCTCACTCATTTATTCTCTCGCTCACTCAAGCACTCACTCTATCTATCTTCCCCTTTCAATCCCTCACTCTTTCAATATATGTTTCCTTCATATCTCAATTCGCCTTTATATACCTTTCTATATATCTCTAGCTATGCCTCTCGTAACTTACGTAATTTATATATATATAGCATTTTTTATAGATCTATATCCCTCTCTCTCTCCATCTCTCTCTCTTTCAAATCTTCTCTTATTTTTCCTTACTTTGTCTCGTCCCCATTTTTGCATGGGTTTTCCCTTACCTTACCTCTATATGTTATTCTATTACATTCTCTTACAACTTCTAGGTAGTATTCCCCTATCTTTGTCTCACTCTCTTTTTTTCTCTGCACTTTTCCTCTCTCTCTCTCTCTCTCTTTCTCTCTCTCTCTATCATTCTCTCTCACTCACTCCTTATTTAGTTTTCCTTTTCCTTTACACTCTATCTATCTCTATCTCTGCTTCTCCCTATCTCACCCTTTCTACCTCATTTGAGTTCCAGCTAAACATGTGTCAAAACAACTGCTCGATTCGATACTCCCTGCATGGCTTATGCCAGGGTATGGCATGGCAAGCGGACCAACTGTTTGCCTGTTAAATATTACGCATTGTCGCGCTATTGTTTAACGCTTTTGGCCACCCGCACCGCTTGCCGGCTGACCTATTCGGTAGCTTCTCTAATTGGAAAGTGGACGTGGGCGAGGCCGAGTGGCCTTGACCTCTTGGCTTGGCTTGGCTTGGCTTAGCTTGGCTTGGTTTGGTTTGGCTAGAATTGGTAACAAAGCGAAAGGCCAATTAAGGCAGCAAATGTGCCGCATCATTTCGACACGAATAACCCCTGTCCCGCATCCGCCCCCCCCCCGCTTTGCAAAAAATAAAGAAATAAAAGTTGAATACTGAAAAATTGTATAATTAGTTAACGCTTTGAGTTTTTGTTGCTTCTGAAGCGTCTTTTATATTGCAAATTTGTTTTGTTTTGCTTTTGGTATTTTTTGTTGCTGTTCATTTCTGGCCTTTTCATAGATTTTGTTTTGCTCGCCGCGTTCATCGCTTGCCATGGTATCACGTCCGCTCAACACTTTTCGCATGACAGCCTCCCACTGTGCGAGGTCAAGCGATCGCGCTGACCGGTCCATGCAAATGCAAAAAGCCCAGATGCGGTCGAGCCAGCAGCAAAAACAGCAGCAGCAGCAGCAGCAGCCGCCGCAGCATTCAGCTGCGAATTAGAGGCCAATAGTGGCCCACATAACTCTTGGCCAGTCCTTCAGCCGCAGCCTCAGGTTCACACTAACTGCCTAAACAATTCTTTCAAGAGACAGAGTGACATATGTATATTATGATATACATATATATACTGACATATACATATATTGATTTCGTGATATATATTGATATTGAACTAGATCGTTAAGCAAAATGATCGTTGACCCTTAAGGTCGGATTCAAGCTTAGGAACTATCTAATTGATTCAAGCTCTGCTGAATACGGGAACTCATTGAAGATCGTTGGTATGTGGTACTAGCAGTACTATATACAGTAGAATCCGGTTATAGCGACTCCGCTTACAGCCATCGTACGATTATTATGACCAAAAGTCCTGTCCCAGACAAACTTATATGAGCAAACTTATATGGTTATAGCGTTGGTCCCTAGAGTTTAAATGTAAATCGTATTCTGCTATAGCTCTACAACGTTTTCTATTGCCTGTAGTGAATCCCGCAGATTAGGAAAAAGCATAGCACTTGAATTCTCTACTAATTTGTTGGATGAAACTCCTATAGCAGACCTGATTCATAAATCCAATTCGAACGAAAGGTTGTGGAGCATATATCAATAGATATGGTATATGGTATGGGGTATAGAATTAGGTAATGCCTAATTAATAATTCTAAGTTTAATAACTGAATTGCATCACTATTTCAAATGAGCTCGTTTAGTTTAACTTAATCGGAGCTGACCCAATCCCATCGAGCCGCACTGGGTTAGTCATTCACTTTCCTCTTCAAATGAAGTGTAATCACGATATATTATATCCTTACTCCAATGGTAACAGTACTCTTTGCCTCTCACGGGGATTCTCTCAGTTACTCTCTCATTCAATCACTCATTCACTCTCTCATTTTCTCGCTCTTGCAGCCTCGCTCTCTGATCTTGGTTTGCGCTGACGTCATGAGTCGTCGGGCGGTGACGCTGACATCGCTGCTGCTGGCGCTGCTGCTCAGCCAGCGATTGACGCCGAGCTTCGGCTCCGCGGTGCTCATATCGGACATGACGATGACCATGATGGTGGAGCTGTCATCGCGGCATCCCTTCTGCAAGATGCACACGGATCGGTGAGTGGGCCAGTGGCAGGCAACCAGAGTTCCACAGCTGCAACTGTAAGCCGTTTCGTCCGTTTCCCAAACAGGGGCGACATCCAGCGGATGCTGCTACAGTCGGATCCGCGACGCATACGCCAGGTGCCGCGCGAGTCGGTCGTGGAGCTGGAGGAGGTCTGCCGCCGGCAGGGATCGTACGGGCACGAGTTTCGCGGCGGCCTGGGCTTCATCTATCCGGGCACCAAGTGGTGCGGCCCAGGCACCGCCGCCACCAGCTACGACGACCTGGGCCCGCATGTGAGGGAGGATCGCTGCTGTCGCGAGCACGACATGTGCCCCGATGTGCTCAACGTGGGCGACTGCCGGCGCGGCCTCTGCAACCGGGGCACCTTCACGCGCTCCCATTGCGATTGCGATGCGCGGTTCAGGCGCTGCCTGCAGGCGGCCAACACGGAGACGGCCAACACGCTGGGCGCGATCTTCTACAATGTGGTGCAGGTGACCTGCTTCCAGGAGCGCAGCCCGTGCTCGGCACACCAAAGGTTCGACGATTACTTTTACGGCCGTCGTCAGTGCCCGCTCGAGTATCGGCAGGCCGATCTCTATGTGCCGCCGCATGCCGAGCAGCTCATTGCCAAGATTCTCGATCAGCCGCAGGGCCGCGCCCTCGCCGCCCCGCTGCCCCCGCTGAAGCACACGGCCCGACGCTTCGGCGTGAAACTGGCCAGCGTCGGCCTGGCCGCCGTCAACATACTGCGCGAGGTGGTTCAACGGCCACGCCTGCTCTGGGAGAGCCTCCACGCCCCGGTCAGTCGGGAGGTGCCGCCCCCAAGGGGCTACTACTACGAGCGGCCGGCGGCGAGGCCGCGCTATGCCTACAGCTATGACTACGGCTGGAGATGACCTGAGCTGCTCAGCTCATCCCATATCATCTCATCAGCATCTCAATGCCCGCTCAGTATTAAGTAGCTGGACCGGATTGGCACGCATTCATAGTCAGCATGTCCAAAGCACTTGCATGTTATGCCTTAAGTTACGAACTTTTTGTTTTTGTTGTATATATAAAAATAATTTTTTTTTTTTTTTAATTTTATTTTGAACAATAAATTAAGCACATCTTAACCTGTTGACTGTTGCACTCTCCCCACCTCTCTGTCTCTCTCCTGTATCGACTTTATCTCTTATCTTATATCTTTCGTCCAGAGCCGGCTACAATCAGACGGAGCAGGATACCATCTGCGCCCAGTGGCAGTATCAGCCCTCGGAGAAGTATGTTCCCAGCCAGCCGCGCACCTCCTAGATGATGATGATGATGATCATAATGATGATGATGATGATGATGATGATAATGATGATGATGATATTCTGCAACAATCAAATACAAATAGTATAGCCCACCCTTTACCGCCCCACAGCCCTCATAGATCAATCACAGTTCCGCCGTTGAGCCTGATGCCTGGAACAGAAACCGGTGCCAAAATGTGCAGCAGCTGCGCAGAGACAAACATATATTTTTTCATAACTATTATAAACATACAAAGGCAATGCATTCCATATATATTTACAATACATAGATATATATACATATATATATATATATATACCATGATCTGAGTGCGAATAAAAGTTCAAGCTTGCTTATGAAAAATGAGCATATTTTAAATTTCGACACTGCCTAAAAGTATGCTGGGCTTTCTGTTACGTTCCACATTTCCTCATTTGGCTTTACTTGCAGGCATTATTATTGGCACAGTCAACATCAAACCTCTTTAATAGTAGCCGTGACACAGTGAGTGTAAAACTTGCATGACGAAAGTAAATTGAGCTCAAGCTCTACAGGCGACTGTGCATGTAATCGCGAAACTTGCATAAGATAATGTTGTATGTATGTATGTTGTATGATTCCATGCGTTTTAAATTGAACCGTTCTCTTTCACACAAGTTGCATTTTACCAACATACTCCAATTGGAACACGAAGAAATTCCTTTCCGCTGCTCGTTAGCCGTGAACCTAGGTTCGTGTCTAGACTAATGTAATACTAAATGAATTTTCCTATTCTAATATTTTGAATAGAAACGTGTACATGTGTATCAAAATGAAGCATTTTACGTAATACCAATATAGATACACTCTGGTACAGTTTGTATAGTATTATGCGTTTCAACCCTGCTATATACTACGATATTCAATCTTAAGCAACGCAAGGATCAAAATGCTTTGACTAAATTTGTTTTTTGCATTGCTTTAATTCGTGCATTTTGTTGTTTGCAAATTACAAAATTTGTCGTTTTCTGCAGATGTTCTGGTTGTATGTGTTGCCATTGTTAAAGTTATATTTGTATGCATACATAAAAAAAACTAAAAACTAAATCTGAACTAAAAGGCTGCTTGAAGCGCAGCTGTTTGGCTGCTGCATGCCGCATGATCCTGATCCAGAGCCAGAGCCAGTGTAATAGGCAGCTAGCAATTATTGTTGTTATAGTTGTTTTTGTTGTTCTTGCTATTGAAATCTGTTAGGCGCGCAGTGCGACAAACTGCTGGAACACCTCCAATATGTGGGAGTCCAGATCGGATGTGAAGAGAAGCGTCTCCAGCGTGCTGCTATATTTCTGCACTTGCTCGTGATGCTGTGAAAGAATTAGGATGGAATTATATATTTATTATTTATTATTATTAAATATATATGCATATTCATTTGACCTACCATAAGGAAGACCTGCTGCAAGCGACCAATAGTCCAGCGATACCAATCCGTGTCCGGATCGCGTCCATCTGTGTCGGATCGCAACAGATGCTCGGATAGAATCATGATGAAGCGCTGGAAGACGATCAGGAACAACCGCTTCTGATTCACATTGGCAGCCTCCAGTTTCTCCTCCATGCGCTCGACGACCTGCAAGCATGGTAGGAATGTAAATAAACGCAAATTTCAGGCATTACCTGACTTACCTCCTCGGATGGTTTATCTGCATGCGTGATGGGTTTCTTGCGTTTGTGCGGCGTATCCTCATCCGTATCGCTGGACGATGAGTCCGCCTTGGAGAGCTTCTCCTTGGCTTCACTTAGCTCAGTATCTGTAAAAACGAATGAGTTCATTGAAGTCCTGGAGCTGTGGGCAAATTATTCAACGGCTACTCACTCAGCTTGATGACGTGCTTGTTCATCTTCTTGATGGTCAGATGCAGTATTTCCCAGAGATACATTTTTGTGAATTCGCCGGTCATTTCCTTGGAGAATATCCACGTGGCCACCGCCGAGCAGTCGACTATTTGCAGCTTGAGCAGCTTATCGATCAGCACCACCATCATCTGCTGGTGCGACGACCAGAGCTCAAATATGTTATGCAGTATACAGATCTGGGCCTCCTCCGTTTCGGCAAGTGCACGGAATACCGCATGAAATTTTGATATGGCCGCAAAGCTATGCGAGAACGACTTCGAGCCCAAATTGAGCAGCGTCTGCACAAAGACATCGATTTTGAGTGCATTGAAGCTGCCATCGGACATCTCTTCGCCGCTGTAGCCGGTGTTGGGTATCTCCTTCAGTATGTTGACCACCTCCTCGGGTGTGCACTTCTGCCGGATGGCGCCGACCAGCTGTAGGGCGACCGTTATGCCGGGCAGATTGGCTGCATATCGAAACGAAACGAAACGAAACGGAAATCATTTCTGAATGCAACTATTCATTATGCACTTTTTTCGAGCAAAGATTTTGGTGGATCTGCTGCTGCTACTTCTGCTGCTGCTGCTACAGTTGACACTTTCGCTTGCGCCAGTTGCATTGCGTTCGGTGCGCCGCCGCGTGGAACCAACCGGCAACAAACTGCAGAGCGAACGACTCCCAAGCCCAAGCGCCTGCTGTCGTCTGATGCGTTACTAATGACCGAACCAGCCCCCCCACCCCACCCCATTCCCTATGCCACGATCTGGTTTACAGCAAGTTACCTGGCTGTACACCTCATGACAGCTGCCATTACATGCAATTTATTGGCACTTGAGTCGATTATGTCAATGAAAAGCGTGCTCAACACGCATACGCAAGTCGATTGAGTGGCACTAAAAAGCCATTAATGCAGACAATGCGGAACTGAGCAGCGCGACCCCATTGCCAGGCAGCTCTGACCACATGGCCACCGCGCTGAACAAAGCTTAAGCATCTCAAGAATCACATTGTCCACAGCAGAACGTGTCAAGATCAGCAAGCAAAGTTCACACAGCTGCAGCAGAACTCGCTGGAAACTTCGAGCCGTACAGCTCTATTGTAGCTTATAGAAACAACCGGGTGTACGGCTAAAAATACCCTATATATTCGAAAGTCTCGCAGCCAAACTAAAGCATAAATTCAATAATTCAATAATTAATCGAATGTACCCAGAACATCATCAATACTTATCGATTTGCTGACTGATCGATAACTTGTGAGCCTTCAAATAAATCAATGAATTACAGAATTTCTGCGCAAAATCGGGTTACGTGGTTTAACACTCATTGACCATTAACACCATTACCACTTCTTAGTCTTATTTATACATATATAAGATTCAGTCCGAAGATCGATTACAAACAGGCATTCTCCAGTGACTGCCTTTCTCGATTACAGGGTATGCACCCTAGATTATTAGCATGTGCTTCGACTTGATGCTACAAATTTGTATATTTTCACGGATCTTTGGCTTTCAGCTCAAATTGGGCATGTCCAAGGCAGGGCGTTTCAAAGATCAGGGCGCTGCTCCATCGAGCGCAACGTGTCCAGCTGTGGCTACTTTATTTGCTTCCTCCGCTCTCCGCGGTGAGCCGGACTATCAATACGTAGTATCTCAATTAGAGGCGAACGCGTGTCAGGGAGCCACGTTTACGAATGCCAACCACAAAGCGGAAGTGCAAGAACATAAGCTCATTAGAGGAGAGGAACCACACATAAGAGAGCACACACACACACACATACACGAATCGAACTACGGTTCGCATAGTTTTATGATTAATTTGCATGTGTGACAGCCATGGGAAGCGGCACAGCTAGTGAACAAGGCCCTAGACTTGACTCTTGGAAGAGCTTTATAACAAGGTTACAAGACATTCAGCACAGTCAGCTCATAGAAGATTATATTAAGGGATTATATTCCTAAACAAATAAGTTCTTGAAGCTTTATTCTTTTATATCAAATGCTAAAACTTTACTCAAGTCAAAGCCTGCCCAGCGATAAATTCATGTGCGCAGAAGACCTTTTAATGGTCTTGAACTGCGAAATCTGGGAGATGTTCATACAGCGTCCAAGAGGCTCGTTAATCTGCCTCTCCGATGATGAGCTTTCTTTTTCGCGTCTTGGTTCAAATGGCACAAACGGCTTTCCAGCTACCGTCCGTCCAACCTCCCGGGGCGGCCCATCGCTTATGCGATCTTTGCCCTCTACGAAAACCAACTGAGACAAGGTGAACTGAAACGCAATGAGAACGACAATCGGATGGAACGGCATCAGTTGGTGGCCAGTTCCACAATTGAACTTCAGCGAAGCGAGCAGGCATATCTCACCGAGAATCTCTAGAGAAGTGCTGTGGGCTGGGTGCTCCACAAGTCTCAAGTTGCTTCGCCAGCTGCGCGGGTGGGCGGGGTCATGTGGATTAGACTTGGGGCCCTGGGGTTGCTTGGCTTTTAGTTTTTGGCTTGAAACGGGTCTAAACATCCGCAAGTGTTGCATAAAAGCGCGTCAGCCATGCCACCCATGCCACCCGCACCACCAACACAACAGAGCCACCTGCTGCTGCTGCTGCTGCTGCTGGTAGAAACGCGGCCGTTGCCAAAGATTGCGAAATTTGCCGCCGCTGGCGATGCGCCGCTTGGCTGCTCCAACGAAAGCAGCACCAACATTTGGTGGCTCGCCCCTCTGTCTGTGGGTTTGTTATTAGCGGTGCGCACGTCGTGAACGCCTTTCAGTCGAGCTAACGTGCGCGCGCAGCACAAACGTCGCGTTGTCCAAAGAGCTGTCAAAGATTCGTTTGTTCATTCTGTGTGTGTTTTCATTTTGTTTTTTTTTTTTGTTTTTGCTTCTTTTTGTTAATGTGAAAATGTGGAAATTCTATTGCATACTCATGGCAATCGTAAGTGGCGTCGCTGCTGAGTGGTTGCACTGATTCCTAATTGTTCCATTGCACCATTGCAGCTGCAGCTGCAACTGCAGCTGGCGCTGGCCATTGTGGGCGCTGGACGGGATCTGGTGCTGACACCGAAACAGGCGCTCCAGCAGAACGGTAAACGCATCTACTACGAGGAGGAGGAGTCGACGCAGTCAACGCCAGTCCAGCGCAGCTGGGAGCGCACCCTGAAGCATGTCACCTATGTGACACTCTTCACAGACGCCGCTATGGGCGCCGCTGCCGGCAACCTGAGGTACGTCCCAGTGCAACATCCTTCTCCTTATTCTTCTTCATCATCCTTGCACGCTCGCCCTCCACTAACCGTTTGTGCGGCAGCCAGCTGCACGACTATCACGACTTTCTGCAGACGCCCTATGTACCCGATGCCGAGCATGGCCAGCAGAGCCAGTCGCGCTTTGGCGACATTGTCACGCTGGCCACCGGGCGGCTGGAGCAGCTGTCGTCGAACGGCAGCTACCGCTTTGTCGAGGGCCACGCCAGTGCCCAGCAGAGCGGCACACCAGGCAGCCAGATCCTGGCGCTGTGGCGGGTCCAGCGCATTCGACATCGGGATAGCATTACTCGGCATTCCCCTCAACGCTTCCACTACGAGCTAAAGTTCAGCGTGTCTCCGCTGGCCACGAGCACGGCCTGGCCGCCACAGAACTACATCCAGAAGGAGTCGGATTATCCGCAGAGCTTTGGCCGACACACATACCAGGAAGCGCAAGAGCAGGCACTGGCCCAGCGACGTCAGGATCGTCAGCCGCAGGCGACATTTGTGCGTGGCATCTTCCAGGCACCGCCACCACCCAATCTCCTGAACATTGGTGAGTATTTGAAGGAGGATGTAGCGAAGGGTCCGCCCAAGCTGGACCTGTTTCCGGGCCTCTTCAATCTGGGCTTGCGTCCCAACTTCATTCCGGCCACCACATACCGACCCAGTTATCCGGTCAAATTTGGTTCGCCCACTCCGCCGGAGGCTTATGGGCTGCCCAACGAGCTGGGCGCCACTGAGCCAGCTGGCCCACCACCTAATCCGCCAGTCACCCATCATTTCCATCATCATTTCTATATGACGCCCAATGGCCTGACCGATGGCAACCCATCTGGACAGTCGGATCTCGCCTTTCGTCCATCCAGCTTCGCTCCGGAACTGACAACCCTAGCCGCACCCACTACCCCATCACCAGCCTATCACCATCATCAGCCACACTATCAGCACGATCCACACGGTGGTTTTCAGCTGTCAGGGCACCGTGAAACAGCCTCGGCTGAGTCCCTGGAACCAGGCGAGGATGATCGTCCGGAACAGGAACCGCATCCACTTGTGCGCGTGCCACAGAACTATGCAGGTAACTAAGACGCCTACTTCTAGCTATTCTATATGCAATTGCGTTGTTACCCAAAGGAGGTAAAGCAAGGGCTGGTCCATGATGCTTCTACGACGTAGTTATTTTAATTAAATTTGGATTTGCTCGTAAATCTTTTTTGTCCTTAACTTCTCCATAACGTCTAAACAGGCTACCAACAGTCGTCCAAGTACCACTCGTCCAAGCTGCCGCCGCTGCTGATCTATGCAAGCGCCACTGCCGATACGGAGGAGGAGCAGAAGTCCTTTGTGCAGAGCGAGCCGCTTGAGGAGACCATCTATCGTTACTCGGAGCCGGATCCGCTCTATGTGCACCAGCATCCGGTGGATGTGCTGCACTTGGACACGCCACACAACTATACAAACAAAGAGCCGCAACTGCAGCAACAAGACTTGGTACAGACCCAGCTTGAGTCGAACTCAGACAGCGAGGAGCAGACGGCACTTGAGCAGGAAGAGGAACAGCAGGAGCAGCAGCAGCAGCAGCCCGAACAGCGACCCGCTGGAAGTCAAAAGCAGCACAAATTGGCGACCACGCCTGCGGCAACAACAACAACAACCAGCACGACCACAGAGAGTGCAATTAGCACATCCATGGCACCGACGCGAGCTGCACCCACGAGCCGAAGCAGCTTCGTGTCCACCTCGACCAGCTTTACGCCGCTGCGTGCATTGAGTCGTTATCGAACGACGCCACGCATCACCGCGGGCAGATCAACAACGACAACAACAACCACCGAACAGCCGGCAGTGCCCAAGTGGAAGCAGCGCCGCAAGGAAAATGCCACCGGGCTGGACAGTAGAGCCAAGAGCAGTCACCGTCATGAGTCTAAGGTGGCCTTTATGCCACCAACCACATTCCCAACAACAACAGAACAAGCAACGACAAAAACTACAGCCACAACAACAACTACAGCTATGCCTGCAGTCAGTAACAGCAGCACAGTTGCATCGCCTGAGGGAGCTGGCGAAGTCATTGAGGTGCTCACCCAGAAATCGGTTAGCAAGTCCGTCAGCATCAAGGTGGGCGAGAACGGCGAGGAGATACCCATCATAGTGGATGACGATGAGAACGAGGTGAAGCGCAGCTAGACATGCCCAAATGCGAAGAATTCTACGTCTAAGAAAACAGGAAGCGGCTGAATGGCTTATCAAAGTCTAGGACTAAGAAGACGAGCACACGATTAATAGGCAGAGTACATCTTATATCAGCCGAGCTTCCAATTTCAATTATTTAATAATATTTTTTTTTTTTACTTGATTCAACTTGTATATCAACATAGATTCTAATGCGGAGCACTGAATAAATCTACACATATTATACATTATTTTTATGTCAAAAAAGGGAATTGAGTTGTTTTCGTGGAGGCGGCTGGGCTTGAAATTCGAATATTGATAATTTATATAGACAAGAAAATAACTTGACTCAAGTTGGCATGGCGCTAAACAAAGCAAGCCAGGCTAAAACTTCAATAACGAATGGAACGACATAAATTAATTGAATTTGCTCAGTAGCTGAACGCTGTCAACTAGGCTAAAGCATTTGGAACTTACCAGCCTCCTCGTTCGTGTACTTGTAGTTGGGCACAGGTGGAGCCGGAATCAGCTTTGCATATGTTGTGGGCATCATTTCGGTAATGCGCTGATGGTAGGACAGACTGGAAATGAAGCACATTCAATTATAATTTTAAGTGCAGAACGTAATGAAGCCTATCATCATACCGTAAGCACTTTTGGAGCACCTCCTGAATGAACTTGGGACGCGGATGTTCGGCATCGAGCAGCAGGCAGCTGTCCCATTCGTCCCAGGACCAGGTGAACTTGAAGTTGCTCAAATGGTAGCTAAACCAGTTGACAAAGCGATCGAAGCACGAGGTGTTCATGGAGTCGATGCGCATGAACAGGATCTCGGTAGCCTGGGCGAGCACCTGGGGTAAGGTGCCTGGCTGCAGTTTGCACAGCTCGATTAGTATGGAGCCATAGCAAATGTCCAGATAGCGTGGCGTCGGCATATGGAAGAGCTCCGCAAAGATGACCTCCACAATGCAGTACTCCAAGGGGATCTTGTGCTTGAATGGGAAGTTGAGCAGCTGTGCAGCGCAGTCTTTGCGCTCATGATGATGCGTCTCGATTATATGATGCAGATGCTCCTCAATCAGGAATCGCTCGATCGAGTGGGCACCCGGCAGATTGGGTCCGTCGGGGCAATCGGTATAGTCGAACATGCGATAGACCACCCACGGCATTGGATACTCAAACGAAGCGTGATGGGGCGGCGGCGTGATCTGCGGCAAATTATGTTGCAGTGCCTCGCACAGTATGGAGTCAAAGACGAGGTAGGGACGCGGTATATGCTTCTCTGCCCAGTTGTCCTGCCGCAGTTTGCGTATCTGCGCCCACAAACAGTCCAGATACTCCTCCTGCGGATGTGGCGCATCCGACGACCAGACGCGCAGCGCATTGTGATGCTTCTTCGAGCGCTTATTCAAATACACCTCGATACGCAACAGTAGGGACTCCAGTGCCGACTCCTTCTTTTCATATAGATCACGGCCCACCCACGGAAGAGTGGAGAGCACCGCAAACACAAACCAATCGCGGCGCACTTGCGGCACTGTGTCCTCATTGGACACATCGATCATTGTGTCCAGCAGCTGTAGTAGACTGGTGGCCGAGATGACGTGACAGTTGACCAAGTCGGCTAGAAAACGAAGTGAATATCGTGCTGCGTCCCAGCGACATAGCTTGAGAGATTCCTTAAACGTTTTCACCATATGATCGACGAACTCGCCACCGAATTTATAGTTCTTGGCATTAAGCAGTCCCACCAGGGTCGTGTATACGGTGCACTTTTCGGGCATGCGGACTGCACAATCGGACAGAATGCGCAAGATCTTCAAACGGAATGTGCCCAGATCGGCCTCAAGCACTGAGACAAGACCCTCGAGATTCGACTCCACCGACGAGGTGCTGCGCTCCCCCACACGCAATATCAGCGACTCCAAGCGGTCCTCGATCTCCTGGTTCTCTGAGACGCGGCGTCGCTTGTTTCGCCTGTGGTCTGCAAACATAAATGGGCTCTAGAGTTTCGCTGAAACGATAGGTTTAGCTTTACTTACCGAAACTCTCATCCTCGGTATCGTGTGCGCGTCGGCGACTCATTTTTAAAACAGCTTATACCAATTTGCAACAAACTAATTGAAAAAGCGGCGTTTTTTCCTCTTTTCTTTTGGCAACCGGCAGAATAAAGACTTAACGTAGCGGCTGCTGCGTATACAAATTGTTGTTGCTGGCTAGCACTTGTTGCACGTATCGAGTTTACGATTGTAACAAAATTTACGTCAATTCAAAAAAATTGTCAAGTAGGCGAGCAAAATATATCGAATAAACTTATTTTCGAACATGAGCTTCTGCATTTCACTGTGTCAATGCATTAATGTGACCAAGTGCATTTAAGAAAAAAAGAACTCATAAAAATACCAACATAATAAAATGAGGGAAAGACAGAAACTAATTTTTATCGATAATTAAAATTCAGCTAAATGGGGTTATTGGACTCATAACGATAAAACTTCCTTATTCAAAAGTGACCCAAAGCATTGGGTTCAAATCCTATTGATTTATAGAGAAAGTTTATGTTATATGGCGTTAAATACTTTATGCATATTTTCACCAGATATTTAATTTGTTCATGTTTGTTTTGTTGTGAAATTATGAATAAACCTAGTTGTTTCTATTGTTTTTATATAAAAATTTTACTGTTCAATGTTTAATTTTTCAACACAATTAAAATTAGAGTTATTTTTCATATCATTAACTAAATAGACTAAACTTATATACATTGTTTTATCAAATTTTAATAATATGGAAGTTCAAGACAGATTAACTAAAATTAACGTAATTAATTCTATTAAATTAAAGCATGTATAGAATTATCTTAACAGTCGGTCAACATACTTTAACCGATTTTGCTTTCACTGCAGCTCAATGTGACCAGAGAATAAACATAAGATGCTGCCGATAGAAAGTATAAAATCGATATTGCCATCGGAGTAAACTGCTGCCAATTGTTGAGGCTTGTCTTTAGATTCATATTTTTTTTTACTACATTTTTTGCGTTCGCACACGCAATAATTTAATGAAACGCAATTGATATTTGGGTGTGCTGGTGCAAATGGATCAGTTCTCGCACGACTTGACCCTCGCCCTGGAGGAAACATCGCTCATGGACAGGGCGTGCGGCGTCGGTAGGTGGGGCTCGCGTCGAAGAACTCGATCAACGGGTAATTTGCGTAAGTATTTCAACCAAGATATATGTACCCCTCCCTCTGAAATCATGGAAACCACTTCACTGCCACTTCATTTCACCTGCAGCTTGTGCGCCGCAGCCCACAGAGGATTCGTCGAGCAGCCCCACAGACACATTGAACAATGCACACGGGCTCGGACACGGAGCACATTCAAATGCCAATGCGAATGTGGATGGTCTGGACCCTCATATACACGTTGACATGCTGCCGGCGAGCGATTCGGATGACAAGGCAGAGGCAATGCTTCCACTGCGTCTTCCTGTCAAAACGCTCAATGCTGCAGCTGCCGTTCGCATGGGCACAGGAGCCCTCGAGTCGGACTCATTGAACGAAACCAATTTTAGTCCAGCGCGGTGAGTGGATGCGCCTGCTAGGATACCTATCCAATTAATTGTGTTTTGTTTTTGTAGCTTTTACAAGCCAAATTCACGGCGGAAACGAAAGATCAAACGTATGTCCATGGAGTTTGAGTTTAGTAAAGACAACAACCTGGCTGTGTCGCCGCATAGCTTCACGGAGTCACCGCTGCATCCGGGCATGCTAGGAGGCTGCATCTCCGGCACGGGCACAGTACGCAAGCGTCTGCTGAAGGCGGAGAGTGGAAATCGATCGCATTTGTTTTTTTGCGGCAAACGGAAGCGCTCCAATCGTGATCGCTATCACGAATGCGATCACGACGCAGGCGTTTCACGCGACGGTAGCGGCTGTGCCGTCTCCAGCAATTTACACTCATCGAGCATGCCGCGCTACACACACATGGAGGAGTACCATAGGATGCGGCCCCGTAGCTACTCATCCACATCGAAGCCGCACAGCGACCGCCTACTGCCGCTTAACAAGGGGCTGCTCTCCAAAATCAATCGCATTGCGAAAAATCAAACGCAACAAGCACAAAAGACTGACAACACATCGAACATGGAGGAGGGCCTGGAGCCGGAACAGGTAGAGGCGCAGGTGCTGCTCCAATCAGCACAAACAGCGGCCAAGCAGCAGCAACAACAACAGCAGCTAGATATGAACGAGAGTTCAGCCAGTTGCGCTGGCCCTGGTAGCTTCGGCATGGAAACACTTGTGCCTGTCAACGACATTGAGACGCTGCTGAATCACTCGGATAAAATGCCGCAGCAGCTGCCTGTGGACAGCGCAATCACAGACTTCAATCACATGCATCGCAAGAAATCGCATTATGGCCACATCCACGGCAGTGGCTCCACGACGAAGTCGCATCGCAGACGCCGCTTCTGCCAGACGCCGCAATCGATGCAGGTGCAGTCAATGGACTGCAGTGAGCTCTACGATTTTCTTAGCTCCAGTTCGCTGAGCTCCTCGTCGGACAGCGATGATGGCCATCGTCTGCACGATACGGATCGCGAGGGCGACGACGAGCTGACCGATTGGCCTGGCAACGAATTTGGCCCCGGTGGCAAATACGATCCCAAGCGCAAGCTGACCAAGAAATCCCTGTTACCCCAAATACGCTCCGATGATACAATTGGCGAGGATGACACGCTAATGTCCGGCACGGAGGCCACAGCAACGATGCCTTTCACAGATAGCTACGGCGGCGGCACGTCGCAGTCGCCTCCGCTTACAGATGCTTTGCAGGATTTGTCACGCTTTCAGCTGGCCGCCAGCTCAGAGCCGATTGAGATCAGCGGCGGGGGCGCCAATCGAAGCGTTGGCTTCATTGACGTCAACATCTGCATGGACACGGAGCGCAGCATGAATGGCATGCCAACCATTGTGAAGCAGATCGAGAGCGAGATGTCCGGCGAGACATCCAATCCATTCCTCTCCTCGTCACCGCCCCTGCAAATGCTGGAGGTGCGCGAGATACGCGCCGGCTGCCGACGCATCAATGGCAACGATCGGCCCGGTTTCAGCATAAAATTAGGCGTTAATGAACGGCTTGCGCGCTTCCTGCAGGATGCGCGCCAGACTCAGATCCGTTTGCCGGATATTGAGCTCTACGAGCAGGATAGCCTGCTCAACCTGGCCACGCTCTACTCGCTCAGCATGGTCGTCGAAAACGGCTGCACCGTGCTAACGAAGACCAGGTGAGTCCGTCAATATCTATCTCGAAATCAGGAACAAAAATGAAGTTTAGATTCAATGAAGTTGCTTTCTATATGACAGAAACACTACTCAATCCGTACACATCGATCCGCAGCGCGACCTACAGCACCGGCCGGACTTGTTTGGCGACTACAAGCGACGATGCTACGGCGGAGATGCAGCTGACCCCACGGCACCCACATCCGTGACGCCGTCGGCGGCCAATGCCAACGCCAATGCGAGCGCTGCCACCTCGCCAGCTGCCGAGATGCTGCCGAAACCGTGAAGTGAAGTGAGGTGAACTAATCAAACAGCATACAAATAAGAAAATCACAAACAAACGAGGAACAAGATCAGAATTTAATACAATTAGCAGACCAGGCGACGACGGCATCCGCACGGCAACTGACGGCCAGTGGATGCTCCAATGTGAAGAGAACCGTTAACCACTGAGTGGATGCTCCAATCTAAAGGCGAATCCAAGAGCGTTTCGCCTGAGGATTCGGGGCAGGGCGCCTGTGCAACTGTTATTATTTTTAGCGTATATTTTAAGTTTTTAATGCGTTTCGTATAGTGTAGCTTTTACATGAGCTTTGAATGTACATCGGTCTCTGTATATAACTTTCTATATAATATGTATTATACAAATACTATGTGTATATATACGTATAAATATATCAATATATATATATTTATATATAAATGTATGCATAAATGCTATAATATGAACTAGGGAACAGCGCGTGCCACAATCAGCCAGCGGGACAAAGCGAGACGGAAGCGGCACAGAAAGAGACACGAACTGAAGCAGAATGACGCACAGCAAGAGAGTGAGTGAGATAGAGACAGATAGCGAGAGAGAGAGAGAGAGAGAGAGCGATGTTCGTTGTTATGCTCTAGTTCCACTGTACAAAACATGATTAATATTATTATTTAAAACCTGTTCCATAATAATTAATGCAATCTTCAATATAGTCAATATGTGCACATAGTTCAAATGTATTTGATATCGAAGTGCGGAAATGCAACGAGTACAACAACAACAACAAATTTTATAATATATACATAATTAGGAAATGTTGAAGATCTTCTTCAGTTCTAATTTAGAAGCATCTCACAAATAAAGTTCGATCATGAATGTATTAGGTTGAAAATCTAGACTCTGTCTAGAGACTCGGTTCAAGAATCAAAGGTGCTCAACGATTCTTCTATATATATATATATATATATATATTTTCAAATACACACACATATATATATATATACATATATATATATATATATTGCTGACTAATATTTGTTGTATTATTTAATATTCCGTTTGCCCCATATTTAATAATCTGTTGAACGCATATGTATATTAAAATATATTTTATTCATTACAAACTGATGCAAATTGTATAATATTGGGATTAGCAGATATGATATGAAGAGCATATGATGTGTACGCGAAATATAGTCATAAATTAGTAGAAATCAATATATATATATATATACTATATACCGATTTATATTGGGGCTATTTACTTTGATCTATATGGCTGCTATTAATTGGATAGATGAATTATTCATAATAATCGATATATAGGCGCCATGATTCAAATATACTCCCACACACACACACACACACACATACTTGGGCACTTTTAGTTTGGGGTCGAATCAGGCGCAGGCGCCTTCAGTGCTCCCCACTGGGTTGCCAATCGCAGCAGCAGCCGCATTGCAAAACTTTGGCAACCCTTAAAAGCACGCACGTGTGTGTGTGTGTGTGTGTACGTGTGTGTGTGTGTACGTGTGTGTGTGTGGTTTTTGCCCCCTTTTGGCTTTTTGGCTGCGCTGCGGCTGCTCTGCACTTTCTGGGGTCAGATCGACGGCAGAGTCGCGTTGCCTTGTTGTGTCGCTGGTCGCTGGTCGCGTTGGTTGTCTCCGTCTTGGCTTGAGTGTTTGCCGGAAGGGTGCTGCGAGGGAGGACAAATTGCAAAAAGGCGAATGCCCAAGAAGAGGAAGCGCAAACAGCCAAATAACGCAATTGCTGTTTAAAGGATAAAAACTGACCGATAAAAGGCAGAAGAAAAACAATTGATAAAGCTCGTTAGAAACTAACGGTAATTTGTGTACTCATTGCATATGTGTGAGTGTGTGTGCTCTCTCTCTCTCTCTCTCTCTCTGTGTGTGCGTACGTGCCTGTGTCTCTCTGTGTGTGTGTGTGTGTGTGTGTGCACGTAATCTATGTGTATCTGTAGGAGCTACACGTGAGAAGGCGGCGTTTGGCCAAGGCGAGAGAGATTCGTGGGACGCGCGGCGAGTGGCTTATTGATTTTTCTATGCTGCAAACGAAAACACACGCGCACACACACACACACACACACACAGAGAGGCATATTCGCTCACTCATTCACACACACAGAGGCAGGCATAGATGACCTGTGCCAGTGTGTGCGTGTGAGCTAATCTCTTATCAGAGTATAGAAATTTGTGTGAACTTGTTTTCGTTTCAATTATAATTTGCTTCTTCCATTTGTTGTTGTCAATCGGCAGCGTGCGCTGCAATGGAGGAGCGCGCGTTGAGGCGTCTGTAGGGGCGGGGCGCCAGTGCCAAAGCCAGTGCCAGTGCCGTTAGTCGAGAGTCAAGAGTCGAGAGCCAGAGCCAGTTGCATGCGCCGGGAGCATGTGCAGCAGCAGCTGCAGCTGCAACGTTTCAGTGCTTGCCTAGCCCAGAGCCGTCCTGCCCGACGGACGCAGCCGGATAATGAGCGCATGCGAGATGGCCAAGGATACGAAGGAGTCTGTAGCAGCAGCAGCCAAGGCAGCAACGACTGCCCCAGCGCTGGCTGCGCCCAACAAGGAGGAGCCAGCGGAGGAGCCTGATCCGCCCAAGGCCAATGGACACGAGAACGAGCACGAGCAGGAGCCGGAGCTGGAGCGGAAGCTGGAGCAGAACCAGAATCAGAACCAGAACCAGAAGCAGAAGCAGAAGCTGTCAAAGTCGGGCACCCAGACGAATGGCCCCGAACAGGATGCAGGTGAATCGAAGCTGCATGCCGACGCAGATGTGGACGCGTTGGCAACACCTACCTCCATGGATGCGCTGGCCAGCTGCAAGGATGTGCTCCTCGCCCAGAAGCTCTTTGCCAGCGGCGGCAGCGGTCCCAAGGAGCTGCTCAAGCTGAAGGAGCCAATGCGCGTCGGCTTCTATGACATTGAGCGCACCATTGGCAAGGGCAACTTTGCGGTGGTGAAGCTGGCGCGGCATCGCATCACCAAGAACGAGGTGGCCATCAAGATCATTGACAAGTCGCAGCTGGATCACACCAACCTGCAGAAGGTCTATCGCGAGGTGGAAATCATGAAGAAGCTCAAGCATCCGCATATCATCAAATTGTATCAGGTGAGTGCGCCAATCTCTCGGGCTCAGCTGCAGCCACAGGCTAATCCTCTGGAGCATTGCAGGTGATGGAAACCAAAAACATGATTTACATTGTCTCCGAGTACGCCAGCCAGGGCGAGATCTTTGGTAAGCCACTCAGTCAGCCAGCCAATCCAGATGTCTCAGGCCACTGCAACTCTTGCTCTTCCTTGCAGATTATATAGCCAAGTATGGACGCATGTCGGAGTCGGCGGCCCGCTTCAAGTTCTGGCAAATCATCTCCGCCGTGGAGTACTGCCATAAGAAGGGCATCGTCCATCGGGATCTCAAGGCCGAGAATCTGCTGCTCGACTGCAGCATGAACATTAAAATCGCTGACTTTGGCTTCTCCAATCACTTCAAGCCCGGCGAGCTGCTCGCCACCTGGTGCGGCTCACCGCCCTATGCCGCGCCAGAGGTATTCGAGGGCAAGCAATATACTGGACCCGAAATTGATATTTGGGTAAGCATGCCAGCCGATGACGTTCCAGATACCTTGGGTAATATCCATCCTCCATCTGCTCTGGTTGCAGTCCCTGGGCGTAGTGCTCTATGTCCTGGTGTGCGGCGCCCTGCCCTTCGATGGGTCCACGCTGCAGAGCCTGCGGGATCGGGTGCTGTCGGGCCGCTTTCGCATACCCTTCTTCATGAGCTCGGAGTGCGAGCATCTAATACGCCGCATGCTGGTGCTGGAGCCGACGCGTCGCTACACCATTGAGCAGATCAAGCGACATCGCTGGATGTGTCCCGAGCTGCTGGAGCACGCGCTGATTGCCAAATACAATCTGAACATGGAGCGGCAGGCGGTGCTGGAGCCGAGCGAGGATATATTGAGGATCATGTCCGAGTATGTGGGCATCGCACCGGACAAGACGCGGGCCAGCCTCAAGAAGAACACCTACGACCATGTGGCGGCCATCTATCTGCTGCTGCAGGATCGCGTCTCCCACAAGAAGGAGCAGGCGAAGCCCAGCGAAGCGAGCAGCCGTCTGCTCTACAAGAGCAAGCAGTCCCTGATGCTCGATCAGTTGTCCACGCCCCAGCAGCAGCAGCAGCAGCAGCAGCAGCAACAGTTGCTGCAACTGCATCAGCAACAGCAGCAGCAACAGCAGCAACAGCTGCAACAGCAGCAGCAAAGAAAGACAATATCCACCGTGATCCTGGCCAAGGATCCGACACACAAAAGACTTAGCCGCCATCAGACTGTCATGATGAGCGAGCGAACCACTGCCGATCCCTACTATGCGGTCAAGCAGCAGGCCCACATCCTTGCCCACGTCCATGGCCACGCCCAGGCCCATGCTTACGCTCACACTCACGCCCGTTACCTGAACGGGGATGAGGGTGTGGGCGTGGGTGTGGGCGTGGGCGCGGGCATGGTCATGCCCACTAGATATACCCCATTGCCGGCGCCGGGCAGCGCTCGCATCAGCCATCAGAGCCTCAGCTCGGCCAGGAGCATGGCCGGCAGCCAGCGACCGGTTGGCATCTCGCTGAGCATCGACAATACCAGCAGTGGGCATCCGCTGCCATCGCTGGCCAACCTCAGGTGTCGCGAGCTGCTGCTCAATGCCAGCCAGCAGCTGGAGCAGGGCCATCCGCTTGGCCACCTGCCATCGCCGGCAGCGGCAGCGGCGCTAGCGACGGCGACGGCGACGGCGACGGCGACGGCGACGGCGCCGGTGCCCAAGCAGCTCCACCAGACCATTAGCGAGTACATCATCAAGCAGAGCACCGAAGACTGTCGTCTGCTCCTGCAGCAGGTGCGTCCAGCAGCCAAACGCTAGCCAAGCTGAATGCATCTCTAACTAACATCTCTAATCTCTTGCAGTCCACGGCCATTGCCGAAGCGAAGAAGGAGGACGAGGAGCAGCTGCTGCCGCTGCCAGCATCTGCCATGGAGCATTCGAGCGCTGCCACGCCCACTGCCGAACATAGCAAGACAATAAAAGTGATGTCCAGCTCGAATAGCTTCGATTCCACCGCCAATCTCAATCAAAGCTTTCGCTACAAAATGTCCGCCGAGGCGAACCGACTATTCCAGACCCTCCAGGAGAGTCCACTGCCAATTGAGGTGCGTCCGCCTGTCCGGCTGTCCACTCGAAATCCTCCATTGTAACAATCTCTCTCTCTCTCTATCTCTCTCTCTCTCTCCAACAGAAACCCAAGCGCAAGGCTGCAACGGCAAATGGCAATGGGACTGGGACTGGGACTGGGAATAGCAACGGCAGCGAGTCTGGCCGAGCTGCGGAGGAGGGCGAGGGAGTCGAGCCGAAGCCCATTGGAGACGGGTGAGTGAGAATTAGCGGCCAACGATTCGCGAGTGCGCCGGAGTCGAGTCTAATCGGGCGTCGTTGTCGTTGTAGCCGGGAGAAAAAGACTTTTGAGAAGAAGGTGCTGGCACAGGGCAGCTCCAGCACGGACGAGGGCTGCGACACGGATCAGGGCAACGAGGTGGTCGCCGCCAAGGAGGGCTCCCAGTCCTCGACGGATCTGACCAGCGTCCAGGCGAACACGCGCACGCGCTCCTATGCCAGCAGCAGCAGCTCCAGCGGCGTCCTAGCCGGCAGCTACTCGAAGAGCCTCAGCCAGAATCTGAGCCGCGGCTCCTCCAAGAGCAACTGCAGCGCCTACGAGAGTCTGGACTTTGTGCTGCCCTCCGTGCCGGACATTGCCGGCAGTCTGCCCTCCTGCATGAGCAACTCAATGCTGGCCGCTGCCGCCGCCGCTGCCGCCGCTGCGGCCGCCGTCTCCAGCGAGCACTCGTCGGAGCGTTCGCTGTACAGCAGCCACAACTCGTGCATTCATATGCCCAGCGCGGTCAATTTGCTGGTGACGGCGACGCCGACGCCGACGCCGACGGCAACGCCAACGTCGACACCGACGGCGACGCCACCGCCACCGCCGCAGCCGGCGCCGCCGCCCTTTGCGGACAAGCGTTCGCCCATCCATTTCCGTGAGGGCCGCCGCGCCAGCGACGGCCTGGTGGCCCAGGGCCTCCTCAGCTCCAGCTCCCTGCTGGGCGCGAGTCGTGTCTATGGCAGCTATCGCTACGAGCAGGCCAAGCGCCACGGCTGGCTGGAGATACAGCAGCTGCAGCAGGAGGCGGCTGTCTATGCGCCCAGCCACGCCCATCTGCATGGCCATGCCCTTGGCCAAGGCCATGGTCATGCTCATGGTCATGGTCACGGTCACGGTCACGGTCATGGCCATCTGGGCCTCGAGGAGCTGAGCCTGGCCAATTGTCAATTGCCACACGGTCAATTCTATGCGATGCCCATCAAGCCGCACCACACGCTGCACCACCTGCAGCCGCAGCACCACCAGCAGCTGGCCTATGCGCCACTGCCGCCGCCGCCGCCGCCGCCGCCGTCGCTGCTCTTGGACGCCAGCAGCGAGCTGTTTGCGGGCCATGGCCATGGCTGCTATCAGCCGCCGCCGCCACCGCCGCCGAGCGTCTACCCACATCCGCATGCGCACCACCAGCAGCAGCTGGCCATGTCGCCCATGCAGAAGCCGCCGCTGCAACAGCAGCTGCTGCAGCACCGCCTGCTCCAGCAGAAGCGGCAGCTCTTCCAGAAGCAATACGCCCTGGAGGCGCAGCTGGCCGGACGCCATCAGCACCAGCACCAGCACCAGCATCATCATCAGCATCACCATCACAACCATGGCCATGTCCACTACAACCACAGCCTGGTGCATGGGACACCGCCGCCGCCGCCGCCGCCAGCGCCCGCTGGCCCGCCCGAGCACCACCTGGCCGAGGAGCTGTACGAGCTGGCCATGCTGGATCGGCCGCGCAGCGGACCGCCACGACTGCAGCACTCGCTGACCATGCCGGGCGCGCACGCCTTTAGCCAAATGAATCTGAAGACCTCCTACATCAGCCAGCCGGAGGCCCTGCCCAGCGCCGGGCCCGTGGCGTCCAGCTCGGCGCCACCGCCGTCCACAACACCGCCGGCAACACCGCCCCAGGCGCTGCTCAACAGCCACGTGGTCCATGGCCACGAGTCCGACTATCATGTGCGGGCGCAGTCGAGCGCATCGGCGCCTCCGGTGCTCAGCCTCTTCACGCCCAGCTGGCAGACACTGGTGAAGCCGCTCAGCGAGAGTCCCATACTGGAGATCTCCGAGCATCTGGAGTCCGTGTGAGGAAGAAGAAGAAGAAGAAGAGCCAACAAAAAATAACCAAAAACCTTTCAATACGCTCGCTATCGCAATCGCAATTACAACAACAACAAATCTAAAATCTAAATATAATAATAATAATTTTATTCATATACATGCAAACAATACTACGATATATATATATATAGAATATATATATAATATACGATACTATTATACGATAAATGTTATATACACCCACACATTTATAGGCTTATACATATATTACATTACCGTTAGACAGCAAGTGAGAGAGAAAGAGAGAGAGAGAGAGAGTGGGAGAGAGCAAGAGTCAGAGGAGGTATCAGACTCGATCCGTGAGTTCCATTTGGCAGTTGAAATTTTGAAACGATTTATCGTTAGCGTTATAGAGCGGCGATAAGTATTACCAGAATATTGGATCATTTAGTTGTGTTACTAGCATTAAGTAGTCCATGTTTCATACACACACAAACACACACATCAACAGACACACACACACACACACAGACTCTGGCATATACAATATGTATATTGATAATAATTATGTATTAAGCTACACCACATATTCTGGTATTATCTGGAACTCTATTCGAAATTCTCAAGATAAGGAAAGAAAATGAAACAAAAACAACGTAAAACTACATATATCAATTATTCGAAGCATTTATTGATGACATAGGATATACATAATAGAAATATATATATATATATATATATATATATATTTGCCAAGATATATATATATAGATATATATCATATATACATATATGTATATGTCTATAGTTACGTATATCTATATATATATGAATTGGTACAATAATTAGCGGCAAGCAAATAAATAAAACATCGATTGTTCTTAAACATGGAATTCAAAAATGTCAACCAGATATTAAAAAGTCATTTGGTATGAAATACAATACACTTTTTATCGATTACACGCGCCGACTTGATCGATTCTTGTTTTGATGGCAGGCGTCGGGAATGGGAGAGGGGGAACGGGAACTGGAACCGGAAATGCAATATAGTACATATATAATCAAGTTCAAATCATGCAAACATAATCTGATAATAATAATCGATCGAGTTTAGTGATATATGATCCATCTGTATATCATTCAATTTCATATATAATACTACATACATATACATATGCATATATAACGGATATTTCGGACAGATAAAGGATATGGCTTTACATTCATTGCATTAGATAATCGCGTTTTCTTATTGTTTGTTGTTATAAATGATGGTGGATAAATGGTCACTATGGAGGCATACCATAGAGAGGCATACCCGGATCTTACATTATTTCCAGCTAAATCCAATCATATAGTACAGCTATTGAATATAGGATGATATCCGATGTGATATATATCTTTAGCTTTACCGAAAAACCTTTTCTATCTGGCGATTGGCGCTAGGCTGCATCGATGGGCATCGATTGGATTGGGACGGAACTCGGCTGCGGCTCCACTTCAGATCCATACGGATCACGTTTTGAGCGCCCGATTCGACTCGATGTGCTTCTTGAGGGCCCGCTGCTGCTGCTGCTGCTGCTCGGACTGATGGCAGCGCAGCAGGTTCCAGTAGGCGCGCCTGTACTCGGAGCTCATCAGCACATAGATCAGCGGATTGATGCAGGTGGTCAGATAGATCAGCAGATAGCCCATTATATTGAAGATGTGCACATCGTTGATACTCTTACTGATCTTGGACAGCGTTATGGGCAGATAGCAGATGAGGAACCACACGAATATCACCAATATCATCTTCAGCAATCGACGATCCTTCACACTCATCCGGCCCGCATAGATGGACGAGGCATTCGAAGTATTCCCCATCGACACATAATGCGATTTGCGTGGGCTGAAACGCGTAAACGAGGTGCGCAGCGAGGTGGTGATGGGATTCTTTCTATCGATTCAGATGGCCACCGAGGATGAGGAATGAGGAGAGAGGAAAGAGAAATATTTAGTAATTAATATAAATGTTTATTTATATGATCTGATTTCAATACGATTTTCCAATAAACCCTAAAGCTATACACTATTTTTAGAATAGATCTAAGAGCTCTTTTTAAATCAGTCGTTCTTTAGAATCTCTAATTACACTCTTTCAAAGTTTTCTATATAGCTAAATATAGATAGATTAGGTATATTTGCTCTAGCATACATTAAATATTGTTTTCATTATCGTTTACGAACAACTTTTATCATATAGAAGTTTGGAGCTAGAGCAATGTTAAAAGTCTGCCTTCTACTGGGTAAGCCGTGGATTTATAATACTTGGTTAAGATCCGGGGGACTTCTTTACAGAGAAAACCTTATATCTAAATCTGGGAGATCCCAGTTAAGTTTCTCCACAGTTAAATCTATAAATGATATGATCCGCCTATATGGGGGCATGGCAAATTTTTGTATGCTCATTTTAAAAGCGTTTAGATCACAAGTACTACTAGTTTTAGATCATTGCTTTTAGATCGTGAACCGATTGATTTCTAATGTTTCATAACTTTTCATCAATTTTAGATCTACAACAGTTCTCTAAGCTAGCTACAATTCGGTTATAAGTAAATGTTAAGTTTTTGTTTGGCATAAACTTGATATTAACTAATAGATATGCCTGTTTCCCTACAGCGAATGCACAAGACGGTCAAATGGAATTTACAACCAGGTTGTAAATGTTCAACTTGATATTCCAGCAGACATACCTACATATATTCATTTTATTACTGTATAAATATATGTTATATTCATTGTACAACAATGAACCAAATCAATCTGAGCACATGGATATAGTGATATATGTACATCATTCTCGTCCCTTTTGAGATTGGAGTTTACAAGCCAGTTGTAAATTCAAAGTAGATGCTATGCATTTCTCATTAGCTACTCACGAATTGCGGCTTTGCTCCAGCTGTGTCAGCGATCTATGGATGCTCGTATCGCCAGTCGGTGTGGCCGCAGCTGGCGTTGATCCTGGCGTGGCGGGCTTGCTGTTGGCTAGGTTGTTCTCCTGCAGCACCACGTTGGCATCGATGGGTGTCTCCTGCTTGACGCTGTACGAGATGGGGAAACTCTCCGAGGAGGCATTGTCATCGATATAGGCCAGGTACTCGCTGACCACAAACGGATGCACTTGGCCAGAGTCGTCGTCCGTGCTGGGTTTGCGCTCTTTGTCCAGTTCTTTGCCCTTGTCCTTGTTCTTGTCCTTGTCCTTGTCCTTGTCCTTGGGCTTGTCCTTGGCATTGTCCTTGGCCTTGTCGGCGGTGGGTGTTTGAATGGGCGGCGTAATGGCCATCTCGGAGGTCTTGGCGCCCGCCCGCCGTGCCGCCCGACGAACGAGCACAAAGATGCGCGCATAGCAGATGACAATGCAGACGCAGGGCAGCATGAAGGCGGCTATGAAGAGGAACTCCTTGGGCGAGCGATCGTACTTGTCGTGCAGTATCGAGCAGGAGCCGATGCTCGTGTCCAGCCCGAAGCGGCCCCAGACGCCGCGCCACGTCGGTATCATGATCGAGAACGTCACCAGCCAGGTGCCCGCCACCATCAGCGCCAGATAGCGTCGCTGATAGATGCTGAGGAAGAAATTCAAATTAGCATGGATTGGATGTGGGATCTAGTCGAATGGAATTGGCTTACCGGGGATACTGCCGCGGATGGGCGATGATAATATACCGATTGATCGTGATCAGCGAGACGGAGAGCAGCGAGACGGCCAGCAGGCCATAGCGCAGCATCGGGAACAGGCGGCAGAGCAGATCGCTGTGGGTCCATGCGCGCTCCTTGAACGTGGACGCGGCCAGCGGCAGATTGAAGCAGCCAAAGAGCAGATCCGAGCACGATAAATTGATGATGAAGATCGCCGTCGAGTTGCGTGTCTGTCTGCCCCGCGACAGGGCCACAATGGTCAGCAGATTGCCCGGCACGCCCACAATGATGAACACAATGCAGGCGATCCAGGCGAAGGTCAGCAGCTCATCCGAGTAGCCCTGGAACAGTTCGTTCTCCAGCACGCTCGATCGATTGCCTGGCAACGCGTTACGACTCAGTTCCAGTCCCGATCTCGATACCGATCCCGATCCCGATCCCGATCCCAATGCCAAGCCCCATCCCATTGGCTGACTGCTGCCGAGCAGCTCGGACTGACCATTCCAATGCTGGTGAATCATGTGAAGCTATGTAAACTGGAGCCAACTTAACTGTGGGTCCCACCGGGCTTAGCGGGGTATATTATATACATATATGACTCTATATACATATATGTATATATCTATACATATGCTTAAGTGTGTCGGTGTCTGTGTCTGTGTCTGTGGCTGTGCCTCTGTCTGTGTCTGCGTCGGGTGTTTGTCTACGGTGTTTGCAGCCAAGGAATGCGGCGTTTAAAACTATGACGCGATCGTTCCTGCGCCGATTTTTGTACTAAACTAAATTCTATACATCGACACTAGCCCAAATAGCAAAGCATCCAGCAAAGAAATTAACAAAACACAGCAACAACAACAACAACAACAACAACGACAGCAACAACAATGAATTGTATTCCATGAGAGCTGCATGGGGCATACACGACCATTAAATACCGTGCGTGTATGCTTGGTTCCTATGTATATCGAAATAAGCTTTTGTTTGGGTCAGACTATATGTTGAGTAGTAGCCCTGACGCTTTGATGCAGTGGAGCTCCTCTGAGCTAGAGATTCCATATAGTCAATTATCGAACTCTAGCTTTTTTAATTCTCTGAGCCAACACCATTAAATCTTTTTATGTTGATATTTCCTACAATGAACATCAAGATTATTTATATAATAATCTATTATATTATTAATGTATAAATCCTCAAACCTATTTCACATTTTACACTATCGACTTTCAATTCTCTTTCTTTTAGCCCTATTCAATAACATAAGAAAATTGTTTCCCTTAAATTCTTAGCGAGTTCTTTGGTTTATCTATTTGTATTTCCGTTTTCAAGTACTCATCAAACTGGTTACACAAATTATTGATTGCATTTCTATGGGAATATTCTTGATTCGAAAGTTATATATTGATATATTTTCTACTCTAGACCCAGAAACCCTACTGCACTTAACCCTCCAGCCTAACACCTCTTTCCTCATATAGTAGACGATTTCTTACAATTATCACAACCATTTATATACATAGTTCCAATAATGAATCTACAGGGTATTTTTTGGGTACAAACCAATAACGAAAACTTGCTAGCAGGAAAACAACAACCAAATTTTATTGTATACAACAATTGACTTCATCATCGGGTAATTTGAAATGAGCGGAGCGAGCGCTTTGTTTACATTGTTCTTATATTTTGGCCTTTTCTACAAAAACTTTTTGTTGCATTGTTTCTTTTTCGATATTTTCAACTAGAGCATACACAAACCAGGGCTGCAACACATTCGTCTATCATTTCAAAATCATAGACCCCATACACAAACACAAAACCGAATTTGTAACTCTTGAGGTTTCTTCTCTCATCACATTTCCAAATAGAACTTTTTCGTTTTCCGTTTCTTTCGAGTTCGGGGGAATGGACAAGCGCATCGACTAGCTGTTGCCACCTACGATCGAGCATAAATTTGGTCAGTATTTATACACATTTAGTTTATAGGGTATTCCAGTGGAGAATGCATTGAATGCTGACTGGAATGAAAGAAATTGGATAGAGAATATGAAAGATCGAGCATATCTTAAAGGAAATGAAATATGAGATTATGTAATCAAATATAGATATATATATAGAGTCTAGATTGGTTATAAATAAAGCACGATTAGTATTTCTTAAAGTAGACTAAAATTGACTTGCATAGCTCAAGTGAGTATTGTGCAGCCAATTTATGGTAAGAGAGTCTATTACGTAACGTCTAGTTGAGTATACAGGGTCTCTCAGAAGAAGCTTTCATTGATGTGGAGCAGATATTCCTCCTCATCAACGAAAGCTTCTTACCAGAGATAATACATTGGATCGAGCTGAATGGATATGGATCAGTCATATAGCAACGCCAATAACAACTCCATACCATCTATCTATAACTTCATTTTAGAGTTTTCAGGTATTGTTTTGACTATAATTTGGTTTATGTTTAACTCTACTCTAAAAACTCTCAAATAATAATTTTAACATTTTTCATATACACTTAGAATAGGAATAGATGAGATAGAACTAGAATTAATTTACAGGGTATCTGCTCTATGTCAATATAGAATATAGAGCAATGTATTAGCAAGACTTACAAACTATATAGACTAACTCTACATACTATACATACTACTATATATAGATATATACATATATGTGTGTTTATCTGTGTAGAATCGAATATACAGCATGGAGTACAGGGCTGATGCCCTGCTATACTTATATATAAATATATACATATACATATACATATACATATATCTAAATCCAACGATTGACTAGGCCAATTTTCTAGCTAACTGCACCCCAAGCATGACCCCCAGCCGCTGCTCCTCGGCTAATTCCCTTGAGCACCCACTCGATTCGATTTTGGGAAACTGCGTACACACACATACATGCACAGATATATATCCATATATACACATACACATACACATGTGTGCATATGTATATATTAGATAATGGTCTCTTCTCGACGCCGTTGCCAGCGTCATCTTAATTAATTAATGAAGCAAACAAAAAGAAATAGTCTCGGCGCAGCTGGAGCAGGAGGAGGAGGGGGAGCAGGGACTGGCGGGAGTGTTGGCTAAGGGGCGTTGGCTGGGCGCGAGCACATTAGAGGCCACCGGCCTCTGGGTTCATTGAGTAGAGCGCATTGAATGGGCCAGTGGCGAAACGAGAGCGGGGGGAGGTAGGAGGTAGGGCTTTGGGAATGAGAGTGAGAGTGAGAGTGAGAGTAAGAGTGAGAATAAGAGTGTGCCCCTAGAAGTAAGTGTGTGTGTGTGTGTCTGCGTGTCAGTGTGTCTACTTTATAGAAAACAACTGACTCAGAGGAAAAACTCTTTGGCAACAATTGAAAATTGACCGACTACGCCCCGTGGCTTCGTCGCCGCGGCTGCTATAACTCGAATGTGTGAAATGCTTTTTATGCAGGCACACACACATACATGCACTCACATTTATGTATATCTCTATATGCATAAGTATGTATATAAAGCCAACTGACCGCTAATCAGATAGAAACAGAAACCCACAGAAATGATTTGAACTCCATGCAACTAGAGGGTAGCACAGAAAGAGAGTGAGGGAGAGAGAGAGAGAGATAGGAAGATAGAGGGAGAGAGAGAGAGAGAGAGAGAGAGAGGGAAATATGTACCACATATATTTTCACACTCTCACTCTCTCTCTCTCACTAGCACTCTTCATCTTCCTCTCTCTCTCTCACTAGCACTCTTCATCTTCCTCTCTCTCTCTCTCACTCTCCCTCTCCCTCTACCTCTCTCTCACTCTCTTCCGATATAGTTACACTCGATATCTATAAGCGATCGTATTCCTCGCACAAACAAACGTGTCTGCTCGAGTTGTGTAAACATTTCTAAAATATGAAGCCGAAGCTGAACCGAATGTGAGAATGTGAATGTCGACAACTTGGCCCCTTTCCTTTCCATGTTTATATGCCCATTCGTTCTCCGGATCCCTTATCAATGCAGCAATTCAAGTAATGCGTGTAATTCCGGGCACTTAAGACAGTCACAGCACAGTGGACGCTCATTCGTAAACCAGGCAAGTTGAGAGTTTCTGAAAATCAAAATATGTATAATTATAGCAATAGCAAATAGTGTGAAAGCTTTAGTTCAGTATATCATATATCATATAATATGTACATATATCGCATGACTATATCTAATTATCATTACTTACCTGTACGTTGCATATACTAACCCATCACACTTTAAGATTCTAGACAAATGGGAATAACTGGTTCCGTAGCGATTGATCTGAGAAAGTTAATGGCTGATTCAGCTTCACGCCTTGTAGCTCTCAACTATCGCATGACTCAGCATCAGGTTTCATATGACGACTGCTTATGATGACTCGTAGCAGACACTTAAAATATCAGAATATGAAAACTGTTCGTCTGAGATTATTCCGGATACGTCTCTCCATTGTTCGACTGTCAAGCAGATCCTGATCTAGCAAACGCTATGTAGATTGGCTCTACCTAATAGGAAAATATACGTGTGAACTTAAAGAGATCTAAATTCATAAAAGAAAATAGCGGATATGAAACTTCTGGCATGAAGGTAACTAGAGTGAGGACACAAACTATTCAACACATGCATAATTAATAGATATATGTATATTTGGTTATGAGGTTTGACAGTAGGTTACAGATATACATATAGAAAGATCTACGGTAGTATATCCGATTATACAAGTGGAATGTGATGTTAGGTATGATATTTATGTAAAATAAAAACTTGTTATTGGCTTCGATGTTTCGACACAGTCGGGAATATATGGTTAGTAAATTTGATCTTGTTGAAATGTTAAGCACACACAGTGGGATTTAATTAAATTCAAGGTCGTTAATATATGATGAAAATCTGGGTTATGGTAAAATATTGATAGTGGATGGAATTATGGTAAATTCCAGTTCATATTATTTCCTGAGTTGAGTTTCCGCAGTTGAGTTGACTATGCAATTTCCAGAGTTTGAATGATGTCAGCAATATATAGTATAGTGTGTATAGTATAGTATTTAGTAGCTGAACCTCAGACGCATAGCTTTTCAAATCGTCAACCCCAGGCTGCTCTCCGATTCCTGACGGCTCACATATGTTTGTGAAAGCTCTGCAAGGTAAAATTAAATTTCGTGAGTATGTATATATATTTAATTTAATTAAAGTATTGACTTACTCGAAAGCCTCTCCACATAACCAATTCATATAAAATTAAAATACTAGATTATTGTGAAACCTCTCCCCATATTCAATGAAGGTGAAGAGGATAATGAAGTTTCGATATTTTGATTATTTGCATTGATTAATATAGATAGCTGAAGCCAGACTTGGGCAACACAACATTTTTTGAAATCGTCGACCACTGTCTGCTCTCCAGATTTGATTGATTAATAGAGCTCTGCAAAGCAAAATTAAAATTCGTCAATTTGACATATAGAATTATGTATGCGAGACAATTAAATATTAGATTATTGTGAAACCTCCCCACTTACCCAATTAATATATAAGATAGTTAAAGTATTAGAGTATTGTGTGACCTCTCCCCAAACTCAATTAAGATGAAGATGAGGATGAAGTTTCCTATTTTGATGAGTTCCATCGATTAATATATTATTTTTCAGGTGAAGTTCAGACTTGTCTGTTCTCCAGATTCCTGACTTCTTACATATGATTGATTATTAGAGCTCTGCAAAGCAAAATTAAAATTCGTCCATTAGATATATAGAAATATGTATGCAAGACAATTAAATATTAGATTATTATGAGACCTCCCCACTTACCCAATTAATATAGATGATAGTTAAAGTATTAGAGTATTGTGTGACCTCTCCCCAAACTCAATTAAAATGAAGATGAGGATGAAGTTTTAATATTTTGATTATTTTTTAGTTGAAGCTCAGACTTGTCTGCTCTCCGGATTCTTGACTGCTTACTTCGGGCTGCTAGGAGTCTGCAAAGCAAAATTCAACTTCGTGAGTTTGTAATTCAGAGCTATGCCTGTATGTGATACAGTTTAAGTATTGACTTATTTTGAAGCTACTCCACTTACCCAATTAATATTTTTGGCGACTTTTTTGCCAGGACGTTGATAGCCTCCCTGTAATGAGTCCTTCAATGTCTCGACGTGCTGTTGAATAAAAGTGGATCCCATCGGCTCGTCGGCGTCACTGTAGTCCATTTTAGCTTCCGATTCGTTAGCGCTTTCCATGCCTACGTCCACGTCCATTAGCTTCTTGCATTTATTTGATCTATTCTTCTTTACGGACCAGCCAACCCAATTGCCGTCCTCCTGCTTGAAACTATGAGAGCTCATCGAAGTTTCAGACTCTTCAGAAATCCTTAGGGCGTCAGCAAATTGCTTTTGCAACAAATCGTTATATATAGTGGTATCAGGGGTTTTTGTTTCCAAACTATCACCTTCGTCACAAGAAACATCAGTGTCGGCGTTGTCAGTTTTCGAAATGCTGATCGGATTATCAATTACGGCTTCTGGCTTCTCTTCCACAAAAGATGTTGGCATCATAGATCTTCCAAAACTGCGCGTAAGCGGGATGATATCCTTCAAACGAGTTGGCAAACTCATTGTTGATGGGCTCTTCGATGTTTTTAGAACTCCTACCATATTGAAAGAGTCTTTGTCTTGAGAATTATTAAATTCGTTATGTACGATTGGCATTGATATTTTTGGTTTCAGTGGACAATCCTTGCGGTTCAGTTTCTGCTTGTTAGCCGTACTTTGCTTATTGTACAAAACCGTGCATGCGTCAGAAAGGTCTTCGGTTGAGTAATATTTCTCCTGCACATCGCTGTCACATGCATCTTTGGTTGCACGTCTGTTGAAAAGCCGTCCCGACGAGTTGTTATGTTGCTTTCCCAAAACCTCTGAGGATTCATTTCGTTTTGCAGCCTCACGCATCCAAGCGCCATCGCCCTGTCCACTTTCCGGGATATTTTTGGCAGCATCACATTCATGGTTATGGTCGTAATATGGACAGCCGCACGGCCTAGCGCTCTGCAGAATTTTGCACATTTTCTTGGCGTTTATATACATTTTTGTTTTAAAGGGTGTCTCAGTGTCTGTCATGTTGTCCTTAGAGACAATTATCAGTTTGCTAGCCAAAGTGTGACTTGAATTATTATGTATGACTGTAAAATTTCTTCTGGGTTTCCCTTTTAGCTCATCGCTTGGTATCAGAAAATTTTCATCGCTTTCTTTGGAGGAAATAAGCTTCAAGTGCTCGTCCCCATCAGAGTCGGATAGTCGAATTTCGGAATCGGAGTTTCCATTCAGGAATGGAGCCTGTTTGATCCATTGAATAAATTTATCTTGCTTGTTGAGTTTTTTAGACCTTTTCGATATCGGATTATATCTAGCATTGATATGCATGGTTCTGGCACAGCGGTAACTTGCGGAATTCTCCTTAGTTGATTGGGTAATCGACTCGGCATTCGACTCAACATCCGACTCTAGACCCGACTCAACACAACATTCCACATAGCGTTCAAGGGGAAGCAGTACTGGTAGCACAACTGGTGGGACGTCCTTATCATTCTTCTTCTTTGAAAACAGTTGGCGAATTCGTTGAAAGCTCAACTTTTCCAGTTTGCTGCGGAATAGCATTTCTAGTTTGTTAAGGAGTGCCCACAATTCATGTTTTTTGACGAAAATCCACATTTCTAGTTTTTTGGGGAGACCTGACATTTCTATTTTCTTCAGAATTAGATTGGCTAAATATTTCAGAAGGCCACAACTCATATACATGGTAACATGAATGACACCGATGATTGCGATCAGCGCATAGAACAACCACAGCAGTTGACTTACAATAACAATATTGATCCAGGTGACAAGCGTTCTTCCATTATAGTCGGCTTCGTATCGGAGATATATAGCCTTGGGATTATCGTAGGCAACCATTTTTATTGTTTTTGTCAGTTTCACCCAGAAGAGTGGCAGATTATAGTTGTTGTTCTCGCCGGTCCGTTCCCCGTCACTTTGTGGCCCATCGAATCCAGCCTCATCCATACCAATGCCGCCATAGCTGCTTCCGATGAAAGCATCTGCAAAAGGCTCGTCAATCATTTGTATTGGCCGACTATAGATAAAATTCGAGTCATTCATTCGGTTATTATTGCTAGACGGTTCTGCCATATAGCCGATACGAAGAAAATCTCGAGCTTCTTCCAGTCGCTCCCAAATTTCCATGAATGGATTTTGAAAAGCGGCTAAAAACCATATCAAATAGGAGGTGAAAAGAAACCAATCCATTTCAAACACAATAACCGGCGATGAAGTTTAGAAATGCAATTATTTGATTCACACAAACTCTATAGTACTGCTCCAATCAAGTCCAAGTGATTTATGTAGATGCACAGTCATGCAGCGTGACATTTGAAAAGACAGGCCAAGACAAGCTAGGATGTTGAGTTTAATTTCGAAAATCGAAAATACTGTTTCGCGTACAGCTTTTGCAATTCACAAACTAAAGCAAAATATGTGCTAGGTGGCAACGCTCGATCAACGACCATTCAATAATCCAAAATGTATTGAAAGATCTCTTATTTAGCTTTATTTATGTCTTTGGTATTTTTCGCACTTTGTGCATTGCCACACACGAAGACAATTATTTGGCGTTCCCAGATGGCAAATTACAATATCGCATTACCGATATCGAGCAAGAGAAAACTGTATGGCCGTTTAGCCGTTGAGTGTTTAGTGCAACAGGCATTCACACAACTGCGCACCCATATAATATTGCCACTTACCATTAGTGATATTGCTTAATTATTAATATATTTATTTTTTTTTTAATTTTAAATAAACTAATAATGATAAGAATTATGCCAATATAAATAAAGTTAAAGTGCAACCTTAAAAAAAATATTATATATATATATATATGCTAAAAAAATATATTTATACATAGACAATTTAGTTTTGCCAGTCCTCGTTTCCAGTGTTGCAAAAGTGCTAATTGCAATAGCTTAAAGAAAGTTTAAAATTCAAATATTTTAGAGGATATTGAGAAAGCGTTCAAATTAATGGCAGAGTATTATAGATTGTAACGGTTAAAGTTGTGTAAATACAATATGCATATAAAATAAATATGAAATATATATTATACAAATATATACATATGTATGTATGCATGCGTGCATGTATGTGCAATAGCTGCATTTGTATTTGTTGATGGAATTGCTGGAAATGTCAATTATGTCGCGTCATGCGTATCGCCTATCTGTAAGAATAAGAAAATCAATATACAAACAAACACACACAAACGAATGCACGCAATATCTAACGCGATCGCCAATCGCATACATATGTCTTCCTCTGCCGCCCTCTGGTCTACCAACTGATAAATATGTAGTACTCTAACAGCAACAACAACAGCAATTGCGAGAGAACATACTGTAAATGAGAGCGAGCTGAAAGAGTGAGCGAGCACGCGAAGAGTGAGAGAGTGTGATATGTTAGTTGGTGTGAGCATGTGTGCGTGTGTGTGTGCTTGTAGAGCGAAATTGTCAACAGCCCAGCAACGAATATCAATTGACGGCGACGACGACGACGGCGACTGCGACCGCGACCGAGCTGCCGCCCCAAAAGCGGGCACTCGATAATGTGCAGTCGTTGTAGACAAACGCAAAATAAACGCGCGCGCGCAGTCAAACGCCATTTAACCGTTACAGCTAGTGTGATTTTGTGCGTTTTGTTTTGATCGCGGCATTCCCTTAGTTGGCTGAGGCTTGTGCCATTGCTGTTAGTGTTGCTGCTGTTGTTGTTGTTGTTGCTGCTAACGTGACAAATACGCTTACGGTGTCGTGTGCTGCGCCGCACGCTTGCACATTTCTACCTGCGTCTGCGAAAGTCTGCAAAATGCTCGAATCCCAAATGTATTAGTCATGACGGTGTCATTTTTGAATCATCCAACCGGGCCGCCGCACTTCTCACTCCCTCGCGCAGCATTCGTGAATAAGCCAGTGAGCAGAGAGCGCGAATCGTAAACTGTTTACATTGCTCAGCTCAGCTTGGCTCGGCTCAGTTGGGTTCAGTTCAGTTTAGCTCAGTTCACTTGCATAAAGTTCGGCTCAGTTATTACTGCTTGGCTCTGACTCTGACTTGGAGTCGCAGCGGCAAACACTTCCTCTCTCACCATCTCTCTCTCTCGCTGGGTCTCTCTAGCGGCCAGCTGCGATTACGTGAAATTAGAATAGAAAAACAAAGAACAAACAACAACAAAGTCGTGCTGCTGCCTGATAAGAGTATAATTTGTGATTTGTGAGCAATCCAGTGATCGGATCGTGAATGTCAGCCCAACTGACGGAGCAGTCTAAGCTGATTACCAATCGCATGTGCCACACCAGTAAACCAGGTGAGCTCTATGGGTGTACGCCGATAAGATAAATACAACAACGCAATGAGACATGCATAGTAAGTGTACCTAGAACTGGACAGCCTCAGTGCTAAACGATCGTGAGCTGTTTCACACTGCGTATACGTAACGTTTGTTTAGAATGATCTAACGATGTACATAATATTCAACTGCCAAGTAAATGCACTCGATTTATGTATATAGTATAATCCATTGTCGGATAATTTATGAATGTACTTTTTATCGATCTACATATCGCTCTGCAAACTCAACATTTCGCTGATTCTCTTTTAGCTTCTGAAGAATTGTGTAAATGTAATACTAGGAAGACGCAAGTTATAAGTAATAACGACATGAATCATTTGGCGTATTTGAAAGTTTTTTTTTTTTTTTTTTTTTTAAATGTAGAAATATTGTTTTTTTTTTTTTTTTTTTATCTGCCAATTTTCAATTATTACGACCTAAATAGGTAATGTATTAGTTATAGCTAGCAGAGAGAAGTTGTTATCAAAGCTACATATTTCCATTCAGTTCTGCGGAATAGCTCAGCATCAGCTTCCAAAGAAAAAAAACATATGTACGTTTATACTATTTTGATAAGACCTTCTATTTATACGTATGTACCTACATCAATTTATATATGGAAACAAACTTTATTTGATTATACAAAGCCACACACAAATACTTATTCTACAAATAGTTTCCAATGTTCTTTATGTAGAAGATATTTTGAAATGAGATATTGATAAAAGATGAAATTATATTAAATAAAAGAGCAATACATATGTATGTACATATATATGGATATGGTAAAGCTCTATGCCTATAGGCTTAGCACCGAAACGTTTTATAGTTCAAGAATACTCTACATAGGTCAGGTCAAGACATTCTTTTTTAAAAGTTTATACACAACAAATTATTATTAAGGCCATAACAGAAAGAGTGAAAGAATGCCAGTAATATTATTTGATAGATGGGAACAACTGTCATTAGAGAATGTTTAGTTTATGATCGATCGATCAATCATTTGAAAAGTAAATAAAACGAAAGTATGGATTAGGCTATATCTGACTGAGGCCAGGAAGGTTATCAAATATTAAATAACACCTATATTGCTTACGTTATGAGATTGTGTATCCAGAACAGGGATCTGTTAGTTGAGCCGATCTAGAGCTGCAGTAAATATTTATATCATATAACTGGGCGTCAGCTACTGAGAAATACAGAAATGTGAAAAGTGTTCCGGTATTTCGGTAGACAAGTGCGAGAATGTCACACACATAGATGTGATATATAGCGTGTATATACAGTATATACATATGTATGTATGTAGTACATAGTTGTATTTGAAGCACACTCAATTAATTAAGGTTCGGCGCTGATCTTTGCACCCGCAGCTAAAGAGATGTTGCATGCACGACGTTTGCTGGGCCGCTGAGTGTGCGCTGTGACCTCTTTAAATTATTTAATTGACACTAATTTATTGTAGTCCAAAGGAACAGCCAGCTAACAGAAACAAAACTCGCCAGCTCGCCAGCTCGCCAGCTGGACAGTTGGACAGTTGGACAGCTCGCCTCGACACCAAAGCCCCGCCCGATTCGCATCAAAGTCGAGAGCTCCCAGTCGAGATCTTCCATCTGTCAGTTGCCAGTTGGCAGTGCTCGGTTGTCGATCGATAGGCCGTTTGTTTATTTCGATCGCATTTCTCCATTGTTTATTTTCGCTTGATTCCTGTCTATGCGTGTGTGTGTGTGTTTGAATTTTATAATAAGTACTGATTATATCTGTGCTGATCAGGTAGAGCTGCTAAGCATTATTGAAGCCTGCCTCAAGCTGAAATCTGTAAACTCATGTACTCACGCCGCCTTTATTATCATCCTCTGATTCTGATTCTGTTGCTCTTTCTCTTTTTGTTTCTGTTTCTGTTTCTGTTTCTGTGAACTTCTTAGCTTATCTGGCATTATGAGTGACGACACAACATCGAGTCTGGGCTATGGCGATGGCGACGGCGATGGGCTGGCTGCCTCAGTGGCACCAACGAACGGCCTGCTGGATGCTGTGGATGAAAGTGGGTAGGTTGCCCTCGACCCTATCAGCTGCCAGTTGCGCTGGTTAATTATAGCGCAGTGTGAGAGGTCCGATAACCGATCGTTAATATTACGCGGCCCATTTCAAGCGCCGCTCCACAGACACTCGCAGCGCCAACAGAGGATCGCCTGTGATCGCTACCGATCGACAGCTCTCTGTGTGTCTGTGTGAGCGAATCTACAACAATGCTGGCTGTCTTCGAGCCAGCGGAAGCCACTGGAGATATGATATGGGCATTGGGCCTTAAGGTCGACACGATCAGTTCAAGGATCAGCGCTGCGATCACCACGGAAATCAACCCAATTACATCCAACTATGAGCGTTTACAGCGTATGCTCTGGATCACTTGCAATCACTTGATGGAGCTGATCGACGATTGGTGATCGATGATCGGTGTTTGGTGAATTTTCTTATCACGATCGCGAATACTTTAAGGATCTGGAATGCATCTGGAAATCAGTAAAACTAATTATCTCTCACATTTGCAGCTTCTCGCAATCGCTGTTGACCTTTGCGGCGATCATGACCTTTCTGATCATGATCGTCGGCATCTGTGGCAATTTTCTGACCGTTGTCGCGCTGCTCAAGTGCCCCAAAGTGCGCAATGTGGCCGCCGCCTTCATTATCAGGTAGATCGCTGTAGATAATGCTGATCGCTTTTGCTAATACCGATCATGATCTATCTTTTGACGTTTAGCCTGTGCATAGCCGATCTGCTGTTCTGTGCGCTGGTGCTGCCGTTCCAGGGCTTGCGCTTCGTGCAGGGCGGCTGGCGCTACGGCAAGATCCTGTGCCGCGTCATCCCGTTCATCCAGTATGGCAACATTGGGGTCTCGCTGCTCTGCATCGCCATGATCACGATCAATCGGTATGTGATGATCACGCATCACAGCTGCTATGCGCGCATCTACAAGCGCCACTGGATCGCCGTCATGATCGCCGCCTGCTGGCTGGTCTCCTACGGCATGCAGCTGCCCACGCTGCTCGGCGCCTGGGGGCGCTTCGGGTACGACACGCGGCTGCAGACGTGCTCGATCATGAGCGATGCGCACGGCCATAGCAGCAAGACGACGCTGTTTATAACGGCCTTCGTGATACCCTGCCTGGTGATCATTGCGTGCTATGCGAAAATCTTCTGGGTAGTGCACAAGTCCGAGCAGCGGATGAAGCGGCATGCCACCAAACAGAACTCCATACCCAACAACTTGAGGACGGTCGCCAGCCAGCCGAACAACCAGGCGGACAACCAGACGGTGTCCCAAACAGTGGCCGGCAGTCGCGTCTCCACGGACAGCAGCAGCTGCTCCACGGACGTGCCGGAGACAGTGATCCCGGCCGGGGGCAAGCAGCCGACCACGCGGGTCAAGGATCAGCGGGAGGTGCGCGCCAAGCGCAACGAATGGCGCATCACCAAAATGGTGTTGGCCATCTTTCTGTCCTTTGTCGTCTGCTACTTGCCGATCACCATTGTCAAGGTGGCCGACAAGGATGTGGAGCATCCCAGTCTGCACATCTTCAGCTACATCATGCTCTACCTGTCCGCCTGCATCAATCCGATCATCTATGTGATCATGAACAAGCAATATCGTAAGGCCTACAAGACGGTTGTCCTCTGCCAGCCGGCGCGCCTCCTGCTGCCCTTTGGCAAATCGAATGGGGCGAATAGTGCTGCAGGTACGTACCGGGTGGATCCGTTTTGGATTTATGCATGCGAACCACATCCGCTAAGTCACGGTCACAATTTGTTTTAGAGAAATGGAAAGACACCGGATTGAGCAACAACCACAGCCGCACTTTGGTGTCCCAGATGTCCGCCGGCGCAGCAGCGGCTGCAGCGGCGTCGCCAACGGCAGCGGCGCCTGCACCGACATCCGATTGCCCGTCCTTGCCGGCAACCAAATCGGGTCAGTCACTGGAGCTGCTCTCCCGCTGTCCAGATCTGATAAGCCGCTCGAATTTGCCGCCGTTGGCTACGCCCCCAACCCCGCCGCCGCCTTCGGTAACGCTCGCAGCCAGCAGCAACAGCAACAGCAACAGCAACGGGAGCTCCAACAGCAACCGGCTGCCACCCAAGAAGAGCAATCACTCCTATATCAACAACGGCTTCAACAGCAGCGGGGCGAGCTGCAGCAGCGGGGCGAACAGCAGCCTGAGCAGTGGCGTTTACCGACCCGCAGCTGGCTCGCTGGCTCCGCTGGGGCATCGTCGCATCACCATGGTGGGGGACGACATCATACTGGAGGAGGAGGAGCTGCCCGCAACGGAGCTGCCAGCGCCGACGATGATGGCCAGCAAGGTGACCAAATCACCGATCTACATGAACATCGACAGTCCGAAGAGAAACCAATCTTATAGCGCCAATGCGACGGTCAAGGATGATGCACTGCAGCAGGCGTCGGTCCAGGACCAGGATGACGCTAGCCAAGTGCTGACGAAGCCTCCAAATCCAAAAGACTAACGAAATGCTTTAATTCCAAATATCGTAACTGTTACATTCCCCCCTCCCCACTACGTGCCGTGCGCCATGTATTTAGCGTATATCGTATAGCATATATCGTACACTCAATAACGATTACGACATGCTACATATATCGTAGATTGTATTCTGTGCTCTCCATATCGTTTACGATAGATAGCACTCTATACGGTTTACGATATATGCAAGTGTGTCTCGTAAACTCTACACTAAGCTATAACGATTACGATATATGTGAGTTGACACCTGTGCCGTAAACGATATTCAGATTACTGTTTTTGATATTTATGCAAATATCGTAAATGGTACTCGAAATTGATGTTTCGTATGCGGAATATCGTAAACGACACATGCACATATACATACGTACATATATCGTAATCGTATTAATTTATAGATATTTATCGTTTGTCCGCACCTAGTATTAACCACTAAACTAAGCGCTATTTATATATTTCTATCGATCGATACCGCTATCGATCCAATCCCTCCATCCGATAAACATATACAAAACTCTATCTTTTTTTTCGAATTTTTTTATAAACTATTTTAATTCAATTTTTGAATGAACATTCCATAAATATGCTTGTGCACTGTTAACATAACACTGATAAGGCTATGTTACGCTACATATTTACAGCTGTGCATGTCGGGCAACGAACGAACTTTAGATTATTTTAATATATATTATATCATTTTTTTTCTACATAGTAAAATTTTTTTATTTGTTTTTTTTTTTTTTTTTTCAACACTTGACTTCGATTAGGAGACCTTGGGCCTCACGCGAATAGTCTTAGAATGTCGTAAACCATTCCATTTATGTAGTTAAAAATGCACACATACATATATATAAATATGCTCTATTTGTAGATCTACCTAGACATACATTTGTACCTATATTAATCAACCTATATTTTATATAAATTTTTTTTTTTTTTTAATTTGTGTATATGTGCTGCAAATTATGCGGTCGAATATATAATTAATGCCTATACAATCACAAAAATAATTTTTATTTTCATCGATGGGCAAATGCTAATACTTGTTGTAGTCAGCGATGCCATTTGCGCCCCTTTTCCGTCAGATCTGGCCTTTTTTTAAAAGTGAGATTGCGGGAAAATAACGGTCAGCTCTTTAGAAATTCGAAAAAGCTTTTAAAAGCTCTTTGAGCAAGCAGAAGGAGACAAGCTGCGTCGACTTAGCCCGGTCCGTGTGCATGTCTAAGGATGTTGATATCGGGACATATAAAATTGATTTTTGTTATGTTTTGATCGACAAGTTTGTATAAAATACACGTATGTATATTTATAAATATTCATGGGCATACAGTAAAAGTTAAATTGTAAAAGTAAAAGTTAAAGTTAAAGAGTAAAAGTTATATTTTAGATGTTTTTTTAAGCTTAATTATGTTTAAGGTAATAACAGCCTTTTCTTTTTTTTTTTTTTTTTTTTATTAATTTATTGGACGATTTAGCTTTTTATATGAATAAAAAAATAATGACAGCACTGATTCTAATCCGTTTCGAGGCTTATCTCTAAGTGCACCAAGAGCGAGAGAGAGAAATACAGACTGAGAGAGAGAGAGCGAGTGAGCATTGAGTCTCAGTGCCAGGCACGATCTCTTGTACGATCGCGCTTCGCCTGCACTGAGAGAAATCAGCTGCGACTTTATTATACCCTAAACACATTCTAGGTAGGAAGTTAGTCGAAGGGGCTTTGCAGCTGATAACAGACTGACAGCGTATCATATGTTATTGCAAATATGTACATACATATATTCTCATGTCTGCTCCGCAAATTCGTCGGTATATCGATCTACATAAACATTGAACATATAATATTTTCTGTAAGTTTCTTGTTTCTGTTTATTTCCAAAGTTGTTGACAAACAAACAGCGAAGCTGAAATCCATTGTTAGTTTTGGCAAACGCAACGGGCGGCGTTGAGTTGAGTAGCTGATAATGCACTACAATTGGCATGCGACTAATGCAGCTACTGCGCTGTGGTCAGTAAGTCATTACGACAATGAGTGCCGATCGAAGCAGAAGCAGCAACCGCAGCAGGAGTAGCAGCCATGTGAGCTGCACTATTTGCTCGGAGCGGTATAAAGTGTCGGATCAAATCTATGGTGGCAGCTGTGGCCATGTGTTCCACTGGCATTGTCTGCAGCGCTGGTGGGAGGAGTAAGTTTAGCCCGCTTGAACGGAAGCTGTAAGCAAAGACTGATCCGTTTCCATCGAATAGGTCCAACAGCTGCCCCGTTTGTCGCAGCAGAGGCCGGGAGTTCTTTCAGCTTTACTTAAGCTTTGAAGAGGCAGAGCCGAGCCAAAGTCAAAGCCAAAGCCAAGGCCAAAGCCAAAGCCAAAGTCAAAGTCAAAGTCACACCCAAAACCAAAGTCAGAGCCAGGGAGCGGGAGTGAGGAGCGCACCAGATGACTTGACCAGCGAATTTCAGAATTTGCTTTATGAAACGGACTTGTACAAGGACGAGATCAATTATTTAAACGAGCAAATTACGTTCTTAAAATTTAAGTTAGCACTAAATAGCAATAGTTCAAGTGATTCAGATTAATATATGTACATGTACTATAATATATACATAAGTATACACCAATAAACATACAGACAGCTAAACAATCAGCTGTTTAGAACATCCACAAAGTTCGATAAAAACTGTAAGCATCCCCCTAAATTTGTGGCGATAGTCTCGGGTATCGATAACTTTTGAACGCCACAGCCGTATTATTGTTTGGTCAAATTTAGCACATTTGCGATATTTAAGTATTTTGTTTGCAGTGTGTTTAAATTCGATGGCAGATCAGTAAGGCAAAAATAATTACAGATAAACGCGTCTATCAATTGTTTTTCAACATTTGATCAATTTTTAATGTGTACCCGTGCGCGTTTGCCTGAATATAGTGCGAAACCTGTTAAACAGTCAAAACGTCGCGTTGCATGAAATCAAACAAGTGCGCATGCAAGTAAGTTGCACCGTGCATTAAGCTACGACTAAATAAAAAGTAGTATTCATTTGACTTCGATTTCAATTGTGGACTTAATTTGTTGTGCTGCTGGTTTGTGGTTGGCCATAAGTAAAACGGTCTTGAAGGCGCGTTCGTGGGGCTCATTGTTTTGTTGTTGATTTGTCGATGCCGATTATTTGGGCCGAGGCCGGAGCCGGGGAATTGCCGCTTTGTCCATATGTCCAAGTGTATGTGTGTGTGTTTGCTAGCCTACGTATATATGTGTGTGTGTATTTTTGCATATGCCGCGCATAATTGCAGGGAGGGTCGCTACCTGTCTGTGTGTACGTGTGTATTTGCGTCGTCTGGCTGGCTGCGTCTGTGTGCGTGTTTGCGATTTTGCCAGTACAACAAGAATTGTATTGTGACAGACGCAGAGTTGCTCTGAGTGGTGAGAACTCTTTCTCTTTTGTTGTTGAGGTTGTGGTGTTGGTGGTGGCCGTCGTCTGCTCTAAACAGGGTTGTTGCACTGTCCATAATTGCAAAGCATGCACATTTCATTGGTGTTTGCCCAGCACACAGGGGCACAAAACCAATAAGAATTTGCCCAATTGATTTTTGTGCAAACCAGCTTTGGTGTTCTGTGTGTATGTTGTGCTGAGTGCGTGTTTTTCTGGGGCCCGCCACTAACGTGTGAGCGCTGGACAACTCTGGCAGCTGGTGAATTCAAGTCGCTGTGGTGAGTTTGGTCTTTGTTGAGAAAAAAAATGTCGACGCGAAAAGTATTTAATCATTAGTCAGAAAAGCCCGTCTATGCGAATTCTGTAAATTGGGAAATCAATTCAAACTGAAGATATAACACGGCGTAAAACTGGATAAAGTGGCAAAAACAAGGCGCAAGTTATGTAAATGAAAGCGAGTGCAATATATGCAGCACACAAATTTGCCAGACTGCGACACGGTGGCGTTCCTGTCGACCACAAAGTGAAACTGCTGCGGGGAAAGTCGCACACGCATAGACACATACATACACATAGACGCAACATTGGCAAGAAGAAGATCAATAACAATAACTAGAAGCAGGAGTGAAGCCTCAGCACAAGATGGACAATTGCGATCAAGACGCTGGCTTTCGGCTGGGTCCGATCAAGGAGGAGGTCAAGCCCGACATATCCCAGCTGAATGACAGCAACAACAGCAGCTTCTCGCCCAAGGCCGAGAGTCCGGGCCCCTTCATGCAGGCCATGAACATGGTCAATGTCAACAACAACAATAATCCCAATCAACAGCAGCAACAACAGCAACAGCAGCAGCAGCAACAATATCCGCCAAATCATCCGCTCAGTGGGTCAAAGCACCTGTGCTCCATATGCGGAGATCGAGCCAGCGGCAAACACTATGGCGTTTACAGCTGTGAGGGCTGCAAGGGCTTCTTCAAGCGCACGGTGCGCAAGGATCTCACATACGCTTGCCGGGAGAATCGCAACTGCATCATCGATAAGCGGCAGCGGAATCGCTGCCAATATTGCCGTTATCAGAAGTGCCTCACATGCGGCATGAAGCGCGAGGCCGTGCAGGAGGAGCGACAACGAGGTGCCCGTGCCTCCACCGGACGATTGAGCGGTGGCGGTGCAGCCGGTGGTGGCGGAGCTGGCTCCGGCTCTGGCGTTGGCATTGGCGTAGGCGGCGGCGGTGGTGCCGGCAGTGGTGCCAATAGCGCCTCCGATGACTTCATGCCCAACAGCGTGTCCCGCGACTTCACCATCGATCGTCTCCTGGACGCTGAGCAACGGGCGGAGGCGCTCAGCGGCGATAACGCGTTGGCATTCCTGCGTGTCGGACCCAACTCGACGGTGCAACCGGACTACAAAGGCGCCGTCTCGGCGCTCTGCCAGGTGGTCAACAAACAGCTCTACCAGATGGTGGAGTATGCCCGGCTAATGCCTCACTTTGCCCAGCTGCCGCTCGACGATCAGGTGATCCTGCTGAAGGCGGCATGGAACGAGCTGCTCATTGCGAACGTGGCCTGGTGCAGCATCGAGTCGCTGGACGAAGCGATCGCCGGGGTGGGCCACGACAGCGCCTTTGATCGGCGGTCACCGGTGCTGCAGCCGCAGCAGCTGTTCCTCAGCCAGAGCTTCTCGTACCATCGCAACAGTGCGATCAAAGCGGGCGTCCAGGCGATCTTTGATCGCATACTGTCCGAGCTGAGCGTCAAGATGAAGCGCCTCAATTTGGATAGACGCGAGCTGTCCTGCCTGAAGGCCATCATCCTGTATAATCCGGACATCAGGGGCATCAAGAATCGTGAAGATATCGAGCACTGTCGCGAGAAGGTCTACGCCTGCCTCGACGAGCACTGCCGGCTGGAGCATCCGGGCGATGATGGGCGTTTCGCTCAGCTGCTGTTGCGATTGCCTGCGCTGCGTTCGATCAGTTTGAAGTGTTTGGATCATCTCTTCTTCTTTCGCATCATCAGCGATCGGCCGCTGGATGAGCTGTTCATCGAGCAGCTGGAGTCGCAGCCGCCGCCGGGCCTGATCCTGAGGCCGGAGTGAATTCGATACGGCTTGTTATCGATCGATCATGTATCGCAGCATGTTGTCGATCGATTGTTTCATTGTGATTGAGTTTGTTTGCATTTCTCTGCCAACCACGCCTCCTTTCCCCGATTTCCTCTCCTCCCCAATATTAATCTGAATGATCTGATCTATATTTCACTCTCTAATTAGTAACATGAATGTTATAAAATTATATACTAAATATGTAATGTATTTTTTTTTTTTTTTTAATGATATGTAATATATATATATACATATATATGGTTTAAATATATATATTTTTTTAATTTTTATTTTGCAAACTAGAAAATGTTTTCCTTAAGATTCAACGATAAAAACAAAAAGAAAATAAAACAGTTATATGAATGTGGCGTTGGCTGACATAGTTATATATATATATATATATATATCTGCTATATATGTATATATATGTGCATACCTACATAGATACATATATCAAATATAAGCAAAATGTAATTATTTCTTAAAATAATTGTATCCAAACGTTATAAAATACATGCGAATTAATGAATATGTATGTATTTAATATATATACATGTACATATATCTCTATCTCTCTCTCTCTCTCACTCTATACATATATACTCTATATAACGATTGTGTGCGAAAGTGTTTTCTTTTACCTTGAATTTTGTCCCTGTTCGGAAGAAACGGACTGCATTAGCGCCTGTGGCGCGTTCGTACAGTGAACGCACGTTAACCGCAACCCATTCGATGTGAGAAGCTTTTTATCGATTCGCTCTTGATTTGTCCTTGAAACCGAATCCATAAAAATATTAATAATTTGTTTAAACATATATGTATGTATATATGATTTTTATAATTTTTCAAAATGACGAAATCAACTTGCATTATATCATCAGCTATCAGATCAAGTTTATTGATAGAAGAAAATTATGGATATTTAGTCGTACAGTGAAGACTTTTCCGTCATATGTTTATATATAAATATATGTATTTTTTAAATTAATGTTTCAACACTTTTCTATTTTAGTTTAGAAAAATTGTCGTAAATTCTCTTTTTTGCAAGGTTTTTTTTTCAGCCATTTTATTGTCAAGACCAATTAACAAATTGGACAAGCGTTGGAAAAGTTAGAAGAAAAGTGTTTCTTTAAGAAATTCTGGACTCGAAAATCCTTGGCATGCTTAAGAAACATAAGATAATATCGGAGAATTTATAAAACATTTCAAAATGCGCTGAAGGATCTGCAAAAATCCCCATTGGATAGAATAAACGCATCTCCAAATGGAACACGTTTGTGATAACACACAGCGTGTGCGTCCAATTGGATTTAGCGTAGTGTCCACACACATTCAGCTTGAATTCCGATTGGATATCCGTGTGGGAATTCTCCAAGCAATGCCATCCACTTGTTCTTATTAGACATTCTACCGATTGCTAATTTGATTTTTGTTTTGATTCTAAAGTTGTCCATGGCAATTGGATAATTGTATCAGAAAGCATTTAGTTTAGATTTGTTAATAAAGTTTATGTTAAATTCGTGGCAGAGAATCACTTTCTTCCGCTGGTGTTTATAGCCATCGCTTTGGCAATTTGTCTGTCCGTCCGTCCGTCCGTCTGCCCGCCTGATTGCCTATGGATTCGTGGCGGGCAATTCTTTCAATTTTTATTAAATTTATGTATGTTTTGCGTTCAAATAGATATTTTCAGAAACATGGTATTAACGCACAGAAGCTTTAAAAATAGATATTGTTTTCGAAAAAAAGAAAAACAAAAAAAACAAAAAGAATTTGCCGCTGACGACGCACAAAAAATGGGCCAAAAATAAATTATTTCTTCTTATTGGGCCGATTTGCTATTAGTTGGGTGGGATGCGACCACGTAATACTCTGCCCCTCATACTGCTGCGTCTTCCAACCAACCATTCATCCGTCCAGCGTGTCTGTCTGGAAGTAGAGAGCGGGTGAGCAAGAGAGGGAGAGAGAGAGTATGAATGAGTGCCTGCTGCTCCTTGTGAGAGCGAGCGAGCAAGCGAGTGACTGCATGCTGCTCCTTCTGAGAGAGTTTTACTAACTCACCGATGCTAAGCCTCAAGCACACACATATACATATATATATGTGTGTGTGTTTGTGTATTGTATTTAGATTTGAGCTATAAAATGTTTAATAAAACTCATAAATAATCTGTCTATGAGCAGAAAAATATATGTTTATGCTGATATGTATAGTCTATATATATGTATATATATATATATATATATATATATATATATATATATATATATATATATATTTTTTTTTTTTTTTTTATTGATATATACATAATTACACACACACATACATACACATATGTTCAATAGACGGCATATTCAGAGTAGTTTTGCACGGAAAAACCAAGTGGCATGCCAATAAAATCATGTGTATGCCGCCTTCAGTGCCTCCCTTACCTACATACATACATACATACACTCTGTATGCATATATGTATGTGTGTGTGTTTGTGTATTGGAAAAGAGTTTCCGAAGCGAAATTAACAATTTGCTATTTTTGTAGCTGTGCGGGGGCGGTATGATGCGACAGTCCGACCCCGAACTGACAGACATACGGACGGACGGACAGACAGAAATCAACTGACAGACACGCATTGACCATCAGCAACATCAGCAACAGCAGCAGCAGCAGTAGCAGCAGTAGCAGCAGCAGCAGCAAACAACAAGTTGTTGTTTTCACACAGGGTGACTTGATTTCAGCTGCGTGAGTGTGCGTTTGTTTGTCTCTTTTGTTGTTGCATTTCGTAAAGCTAACGGCATTCGCTCTAGCAGATTCTACCTGTTGTCGCCGCTCTTGCATTCGTCTGCATATCGATAATTATCGAGCATGGCCGAGGCACGACGCGATGTACGCACACACACACAGATTTACAAAAGCTAGCTCACTCACACACATACACCGCGCAGCATCAGCCAGCAGCCAGCAGCAGCAACAATTGTCTGTTGGTCGAATTCATACTTTCTTCGTTTTTGCTTTGCCTTTCCATTGCTGCCACCCACTCCCACTGTGTGCATATGTATTATTATGTGTGTATGCATGCTCTGTGTGTGTGTGTGTGTGTGTGTGTGTTCGCTCCGGCGCATGCTCGTTCGGGCATCTTCGTGTGTTTGTATGTGACAAACGAGAGGCGATCGCCGTCGTGCATTTTGTTGTTCTTTTTGTTGCTGCTGCGGCTGCACAGTTTTCTTGGACTGTTGCTGGTGCTGCTGCTGCGCTGCTGCTGCTGCCGCCGCCACTTCTGGGTCGTCGTATACGTACGATATTCAGTTTTTGCTTCGCGACATCAGTTTTGAGTTGGCTATCAACGCGAGCGGGTCTTTCTCTTTGCAAGCGACAAACGTAGATATTTCCATCAAATTGTAGTATATTCCACATATATTGTTTTGTTGTTTTTTTTTGTTATTGTTGTTGTTGTTGTCGTTGTCGTTATTGTTGTTGGTTACAATACAAATCAAATTACCAAAAATTTTTTTTCATATTTTTTTTCAAAAAAAAAAAGTAAAAAAAAAACCGATTTTTTTTAAATTGACAGACACGAAAGAAGAAGAAAAGAGAAAAAGAAAGAAAAACTGTAACAAAAAATAACTATAGTTATTATTTTATTTTATTTTATTTTATTTTTTTTTTTTGGTTCAGACTTGTTAAAAAAGAAATACGTCAAAACATATATAGAAGCGTATATATATAAATGTGTATGTGTACATATGAATATATGTATATATATATATAACAGTGGATATATACATGTATAATTATATATACATATACATATACATATATATATATATACATATATATATATATACATATATATATATCTAAAAAAAATAAGCTTTTTCAATTACGAATAACGAATCTGTTGGATCTGAGTGTGCGTGTGTGTGTGTGTGCGAGTTGGGTATAGATATATATGTATATATAAAGATACATACAAAACATATAGATACATATATCTGAATATATAGAATATTTACGTATATGTGTATATGTATAAACCGAAAATAAATACAAAAAAAAAAAAGAACTGCTTAGATATCTGTGTTAAATACTTTTGAAAACGGAACCGAATTATATATATAAATATACATATATGATATTCATATATTCCCATATGCATATACATATCTTAAAATGATCATGTATATATACAGATATAGCTAATATTCATATATCTAATAATTCTTCAATCAAAGTCTAAAGGTCCTCCACCACCCCCTTCTACACATACATCATGTCAGATCATCATACGCACCCAAATGCGTTATGTATGTTCGACCATTGCTTTATTTTTTCATCTTTTTTTTCGAAAATTATTTCAAATATGTACTAAATCCACAATCCAATCTGCCCGAAATTTCCAACCGCACCGCCCCGTTCCGTTCCCCTCTAAAAGTGTGTGTGTGTGTGTGTGTGTGTGAGAGAGAGAGAGATAGAGAAGAAGAAGAAAAAATCGTACGGCACATGCGTTGACGTTAACGCCGAAAATAAAATTTGAAAAACATACTATTTTTAAAACTATACCAATGCGAAACGGAACGAGATGGAACGAAACAAAACGAAACCAAGCAAAAGCGAATGTGAACAAAATAATTAAGTAGCAAATTATCGTGTTATACAACGGCTTTTAATACATATCTATATGTATATGTATGTATATATAAATATATTATTTTGATATATATATGTATGTATATGATATATATTCTCGCTGAACTTGGCTTTTAGCACTCTATTCTAGTTCAATTTCGAATTCGAGTTCGAGTTCGATAAGGCAAACACCTGTGTTTGCGCTTTCAGCAACAGCTTAGCAGATTTCCGCTTCCCTTAACTCGCATTCCCGTTTCCGTTTCTATTTGCTAATTATTTGTTTATCGATCAATCATTCTATCTCTATCTGTATCTCTTTATCTCTCTCTCACTCTTTCGCTTTGCCCATTGCAGATATACAATTTGAAGGATTATCTTGAAACGAACAAATATATATAGATATGTATATCTAACTATATATACATATATACGATTTGTTGTCTTTAGTTTAATTATCAAACCAAAAGTGAATCAAGCAATAAAAATAAAAAATAAAAATAAAAAAGAAAACAGTTGATTGAAGTTAACCAGTTAAGACCATTTGTCGAACCAGCTAATCTATCGAACCAACTTCGAATTGCGAAAAATTATCAGTTTTGAGATTCTAAAATCCACACAAGCACAGACACACACACACACACGTATACGCCACGCACACGCACAGACACGAGACGACCAGCAACTGCAACTAATGAAAAAGAAAATAATTTAAAACTTAAATTTAACAATAATAAATATAAAATAGAAACAAAAATATATAAGAAAAGTTACCCAAACGAAGTAATTAAGAAAAGTGCCACCCTACTACCCCTCCCCCCGATCATAATCGACAGCAGCAACAGCAACTGCACCACCAGCAACTGCACCTAACGAAACAGCCACAAAATGATGATGGAGAACGGTATCTCCATGGAGTACGGCGATGGCTACATGGAGCAGGAGGA